TGTCACCTATGCTGGGAGTGTGGGGAGGGCAGGGGCAGAGACCGCAGGGTGTGCTGTGTTTGAAGAGCGATTGCTTCATTTGCCTCCAGTTGCCTGAACACCAGGTGGGGGAGCTGCCTGAGCAGCAGGCCTGGGGGTGGTGGATGACTTCCCAAACCACAGCCCTTTTGTCTCAGGGGTGATGCTCCAGAGAGGAGGAGGTGGGGAGCCTGAGTTGGTTGTTAGTTTGAGTTTTATCTAATAAAGTAGAATCCAAGCCACGTCATCTGTGTGCTTCTTGGTCCCCTGATATGCAGCACCCAGTCATGCTGTGTCTAGTGTGTTGCAAGCGCACGTCCCTCCTTTCTGGCAGCTTGCTGCAATCCTCATGAGAAGTGAAGTGACATCAGTGCCTCTCCTTTGCTACGTGATGGGTTTTTAGTTAAGTTGGTCCCTTCATTGGCCCTTTTCTCAGCTCCGCTTTTGTTGGACTGGAGTTACTTGGGCTGCTTTCATTTTACAGCCAAATGTCCAGCAACAAGGCTAGTGGAGTAGCCACTTGGCCTGGGCTCTGCTCCCTGCGGCCTGTGGTGCTGTGTGCCCTTTGGCTTCTCTCACTGCCTTGGGCTGGTGGATTTGGTCCGGGGTCAGAGCCGATGTTCAGAAGGTCACCATGAGTTGGACTTGACTCAGCAGCACATGACAACAGTCTAGGCTACTCTGGGTGCCATGGGTTGGGGGTTTGAATTCAGTAGGACAGAGGGGCCACACGCCTTACCACCAGCAATCCACAGGGAATAAAGGCCGCTCTGTTCCAACAGCGAGACCAGCTGAGCCTCAACATATTGGTTGGCTCTTTTTAAGGCCAGCCTTTAATACGGTGTCAGGAAAATTGTGGTTTCAAGTTCAAACTGTGGCTTAGATTCCAGCATAAAAGTGCGGGTGGGGGGGTTCTTCTGTAGTCGGCCCCCTTCCTTGAGGTGTTCCCTGTGTTTCATTATCTTCTCACTATCCTGGGATGGCTGAGGGTGGGGGAGAAGAGTCTTTAACAGGAACAAAAAAAATGATCAGTGTCTCACAAAACCACTGTCTGAACTTGAAACTCAACACTGTGATGTGAATTCTTTAAAGTTATGGTTTGAATTTGAAAAGGCCTGCCCCCATGCCAGAGACCAGCTTTAATGAGGCACGCACACAGCAGTCTCCAGATTGTGACTTAAAGATTTAATCCTAGAAGGGAGGCTGGCTGAGGTGCCAGGATCCGGGGACATGGGGGGGGGGAGGTGTGTGAGAGCAGCAAGGAGACGGGTGGCAATGACGGGGTGGCGGGGACTTGGCATTGGCCACGGTCCTAATTGGAAGCCCTGGAATTCTTGCCGGTTTTATGCTATTTTTTGTTGCCTCCAGCCTTGTACATACTCAGGCCTAAATATGCAGCAACCCTTTGGAAACTGACCTTTTGCAGCCACGCTCCCACGTGCCCTCTTGAAAACCATTAATCACCACTCCAAGGGTGGAAGGTTGTTGGGAGCCTCGCTCCCGCCAGCTGGAATGGCTCCTCCGTGTCGGCGCTGATGAGCCCGCCTAACTCCGGCCTCTGCACGAACCGACCTTTGGGAACAACAGAAATACTGACTCATCACATGACCATTTGGAAAGGGTCACAAGCTGGAGGCACTTTCTCTGCAGCCAACAACAGCTTGGCTCCTTTGCCGTCAGTGGAGGGTCCCTTTGTGACTGAGTAGCCATAGACGGCACTCAGGAGCTTCCTTAGGGGGTGTTCCCAAAGCACTCCTGCAGATGGAGAGCATGGTGAGAGACTGGGAAACCCAGGGGTCAGACACGAGGGGGAACGTGTGGGACCAAACGAGCCACCTGAAGTTGATAGGGACAAGGTGGGTGCCGCAGAATTCACGTGAGGAGCAGTTTAGACATTTTGAGTCACTGATGGAACGTCACTACATCCTCCACTTCTCAGGGCCGGTCGTGTGTTGACTGAATAACTGATCTGGAACCTTGCCGTACCCTGCACCATTGCCACCATCTGGCATGCTTGAGCCTGTTGTCATCAGTCCAGATGGAGGATCTTCCCCTTCTGCTGATCCTCGACCCTTCCCAGAGTGATGTCCTTCTCCAAGGACTGGCCCCTCCTCACAACATGCCCAAAGTATGCGACATGACGTTTCACCATCCTAGCCTCCACAGATCACTGGTGGATTTTAATCATGAGCTGCACCTCAGTTTGTTTAGCTGCTCGCTGGACAGTGGAGATGAGATCTGCAGAGAACAAGCCTGGCTGGAGCTGGGGGTGAAGGTTGGGAATGGAAACAGCCTTGTTGGACTGGAGTGGGGGGTGTGAGGAGAAGTTAGCATGAGAGATGACAGGTGTATCAATGGGGTTCTTGGTCCTGTACAAATGTCTTTTGGGTAACACCTGAGCACCTATTTGATAGTGGTGGTCTTTTGGAGAGATGAGAAGGGCAGTGACAGAAATGTTGACATTGCTAGGTATGACTTACAGTGACCCTATGGACAACACATCTGAACCCTACCCTATTCTGTGCCATCCTCCTCATCCCCTACTTGACGATTGCCACAGTTACCATGTCAGTCCTTCCCGCTGAAGATCTTCCTCTTTACCTGACTCTCCACCTTTCCAAGCGTGATGTCCTGTTCCAAGGGATAACCTCTCTTAGCAGCATGAAACTGCCATCTTTGCCTCCAAGGAGCACTCTGGCTGCACCTTCTTCAAGACATCTGTCTGGCCTTTAGGCAGTCCATGGGATCTTTAGCACTCTTCTCTAGCACCACAGTTTCAGTGACATCAATTCTTTTGTCATCTTTATTCATTGTCCAGCTCCCAGGAGCATTGCAAGGGATTGGAAAGACCATGGCATGAATTAGGTGCACCCTAGTCCTCAAACTAACATCATTGCTCCTCTATAACTTGAAAAAAAATGGATAATTTGGAGACATGAGGTGTAAAGTACTTTGAGCATCCAAGAGAAGGGCTGGATGCTCAGCCCTGGACCTGAACAGCTTGGGACTGAACTTCCAAGGAAGTTCCAGCTTCATACTTGCCTTTATGATGGACACTGAAGCAGGCCATGGTGAGGGATACAATACAGGCAGAGCTGGAGAAAGTTCAGTCTTTGGGTATTCAAGGCAAGTAGGAAAACTGGCCAAGGATTCTGTGGGCACTCAGGACTCAGGTGGGAGTTTTCCTCACTTTAATAAAGCATTTGGCAACTTATTTGCTGAAAATGAGCTTAGAAAACAGGTGAAAATTAACAAAGGCAAATAACAGACCCAAATATGAAAAGCTAAAAACAAAAACCAATCACAGGAAGATGAACTTAGTGACTTGTGTTTGAAAACATGACCACCAAAATCGGCCGAGGTTTCACTTGGCACAGATGCTTGGTTATGGCCAAATAGCATAATGGGGTTGTGGCAAAAAAAGGGAGCAACTACTATTAAGTCACATTAATAAAAATAGGGTGTCTAGGGGAGCTCTGGTGGCCTAGTGGCAAGAAGCTGTACTGCAATCCCAAAGGTACACAGTTCAAATCCACCAGATGCTCTTCCGGAGAAGGAGGGACAATTTCCTCCTGTACCAGTCAGGTCTGACCTGATGGTACACGCACAAAAAAGAATAAAATTTAAAAAAATAGGGTGTCTAGAAGAGAGTCCAGATGACTGATGACACACTGTCCATTTGTGGTCACCACCATTAGGGACTCTGTGGCAGGCCCAGCGTAGCCAGCAGAGGGCAACCCTAGAGGCAGAGCCAAGGCCCAAATAAAAAACTGCCTTCCAGTGGTTTACCTGCCCTGCAGGACAGAACCATCCTGCAGAACAGACAGAACAGCCCCTAGGGTTTCCACAGTTGTAAATCTTTATGGAACCAATTGCCACGTCCTTGTCCCTCACAGATGAGTGGCTTTGAACCAAAGACTAGCAGCTGAATTCTTGAATCACTAGTAGTCACCAAAGGAACCACTTTCACTGTTTTTGGTTTGGTTTGGTTTTGAGGAGCATAGGGTAGACCCTAAGAAAAGTAGTCTAACTAGATTGGGCTGTGATTTTTGCCAGGCTGCGAACTCTGAGTCCTTGGGAGTGTTTGTGTAAGTGTGTGACCAATTGGGCAGCGAGGGAAGGGTCCTGGGCTGGAGATGAAATCAAGTCTTCCTGTTGGTTTACTCCCAGCTGGTACCCTGACGTCCATCCACAATCTGCTTACCTCCCTGACTTCCTGCCAGCCTCTGAGTGGCCTGGGCAGTCAGTCACCAAAGGGGCAAACGAGGCTGGTGCTGCTGTCTTCCCATTGCTCACCGCCCCAGTCCTTCTCATCCCCACCCCAGTAGCTGGAGAGATGCCAGCTGCCCCTTGGGTGTCCAGTGATGCCAGGGTAGGCAAATCCCCTGCCCCACGCGCCTGGGGTGAGTTACAGAGAGCTGACCTGCCAGCATGCTCGTGGGGGGCCTGCCCAGAAATGCTGGGGTTCGCATTTCCGTGCTTCTCACCTTCTCAGGACAACAGGGGCACCTCGGGCTCCCCGCGGACGCGCAGTGCCCAGGCGCACAGCCTCTGGCGCCAGCCTCGTTCCCCGAAGTCTCTCTCCTCCCGGGGCCTCCTGGGTCTGACGCCCACAGCCCTCCGCAGGAAGCCGAACTCCTGAAGCCGGGCTGGGGGTGTGGGCCCAGGGCGAAACCCCGCCCCCCGGGGTCCCTGATCTTTGCCCCCACACCAGGTTCCGCGCCTTCCCGAGAGGCCACCGGCGGGCAGGCGGCGCTGCCTTTTGTGTGCCTCGCTCAGAGGTGCTGGAGAGCACCCCCAGCCACCCGCCACAGCCCCGGGGCCCCCTCCTCTGCGTCCGCAGCCCCCCTGCTCGGCCCCGCGTGCCAGCTCGGGGCTTGCTGGTTCGCTCCCAGCGGCGCCGGGAGGAGGGGCGAGGCCGGCAGCCCCCTCCCCCGCGCGGCGCCCAAGCGGAGCAAGCCGGGGACCCGCCGCCGCCGGTCATGTGGGCTGGACTGCTGCTCCGGGCCGCCTGCGCCGCGCTGCTGCTGCCGGCGGCCGCGGGCCGAGGCTACACCGGCCGGAAGGCGCCCGGCCACTTCGCTGCCGAGAGGTAAGTGCGCCCCAGCCTGGCTGCGCCTCCGGCGTGCGGGGGGCGCTGCGGCCGCGGTCCGGGGCTCCCGTTTGGGTGGTGACGGCGGGCACAGCCCCCGGGGTCTGGACAAAGACAGCAACTGGCGCTCCAGGGAGGGTGCTCGCTTCGCGCCCCCGGTTACGACCCAGGGGGTCCCAGACAGGGGTGGGGACGGGAACTGAGAAGCAGACTCCGCGCGGGCACGTCTGAACCTGCCCTGGAGCGGGGAGCCCCAGACGCGGGGAACCCGGGATGTGCCACTTCGTCCGGGGACTGGTGGGCACGCTCTGTGCCTCCTGGCCACGCTCTGGGCAGGGGCTTCCCTGCGCCCCGGCCCCACGCGCACAGCGGGCCAGGCCCTGCGCTGGGTTGGTTTCCTGAACTGGCGGGGTTGAGGTGCCCCGTGTCCCTCTCCCCACGTGTTCCCCCTCACGGGGCAGAGGCCGGGCCGCCGCGTGTGTGCGTGATGCTCTGAGCGAGGGAACACGCTGTCAGCGGGCGGCCTGGCCGGCGGCCACACTCCTCTGGGGGCGCGCAGCGGGGGCCGCCGGCCGGGCTCGCCGCGCGCACGTGTGTTCTGTGGTCGCTGCCAGTTCCAGCTCCGCGGTGTCTCAGAGCCTTCCAGCCACCTGTCTCTGCTCACTGGGGCACTCGGTAGGCGGGGGGCCCTGCTTGCTCGCGGATGCTACTCCCCGGTCATCCTGAACACTGTGGTGGCCTTGCCTGCCCCTTCCAGAGGCAGGGGGACGCTGACCCGCAAGAACTCCGTCACCATCTCTCCAGCAGGGAAGTGGGGTGTGACTCTCCCCAACATGCACCTCCCAGGAGGGCCTCAGCTTCCCTGCAGAGGGATGACGGACCTCCAGGGCGCTTGCCTCAGATCCCTCGGTTCTGTAGTGGGGGGTGTGGGCCGCCTTTTTAGAATCTTTATCATGTTTGAAATTGCCTTCTCAGTACCCACCTTCCCGACTATTCTCCCAAGACCAGGGACAGGACACCCTTATCCATCCATGGATGAGGTGCTCCAAAACCCCACTCCTGGAATGACAGTCCTGCCGCCCTTTGCACAGCTGGAGGGCACTGGGGGAGGTGACACCCCATTTTAGGGGGGGTTCAAAGCTTTCTTGGACTAAGACTGAGGTGTGCCTTAGCCAAGCCATCCAAGCCATGGTATTTTCACTTGCTCTCTGTGCATCAGAAGGTTGGACCGTGAAGACTGAAGATTTGATGCCTGTCAGTTGTGGTGTTGGTGAAGAGTAGTGAATATACCGTCAAGTGTCAAAAGAACAAACAAGTCTGTCTCAGAGGACGTGTGTCAGAGACAACCATGGTGAAACCTTGCCTCACCTGCTGTGGACATGTTACCAGGAGGGGCCAGTCCTTATAAATAAATAAAGAGGGGGTTATGATGTTGAAAAAGTTGGAGGGTCAGCAAACTAGAGGAAGACCCTCATGGAGGTGGATTGGCACAGTGGGCTTGGCATGGTGGGGATGGTGAGGATGGCTCAGGACAGGGAAGAAGGTTCAGCTCTGTGGTTCAGAGGGTCACTATGAGTTGGTGGTCAACTCAAAGGCGCCTCATGACAACACCCTCTATGAGAGTCCCAGGTCAAAGCACAGACTGCTCGCCCAGTCCGTTATTGGAATAATTACAGTCACCATGTCTGGCTGAGGCTTTTGTGTACACTGTTGCCTCTACTAGGAAGCTCTGCTTTCTTCCTCCTGCTGTCCTTACACGGAGCCTCCAGAGCTTCCAGAAACCTCGTGGCCGCTGTTGTGCTGTGTTGTCAGCCCCGGGTTCTTGGTTGGCACCTGCCAGTCCTTGAAGGTGGGGAGGGGTGGCATGGTCCTGCCTGCACCACTCCTTTTTCTTGCCCTCCCTCTTAACCCCCTCTTTATTCAATCAGTTATTCATGAACTACTCCGGATTAATTGCAATGCACATATTCCACTGTTGTTGTTGTTGTTATGTGCCGTCGAGTTGCGTGCGACTCATAGCGACCCTATGTACAACAGTCCTAAACCCTGCTCTACCCTGTGCCAATATTATTGTCTCTGACACACCTATCCGCATTACCCCAGTCACTGAATCAAGCCATCTCATTGAGGGTCTTCCTCTCTTGTGCGTCCCTCCACCCTCCCAAGCATGACATCCCTCTCCGAGGACTGGTCCCTCCTTACAACATATCCAAAGTATGTCAGACGAAGCTTCAGAATCTTTGCCTCCAAGGAGCAGCCTGGTTTTACCCTCTCTAGGACAAACTTGTTCTCCTAGCAGTCCATGGTATATTCAATACTCTTCTCCAACACCACAGCTCAAAGGCATCAATTCTCCTATCATCTCTAGTCATTGTCCAGCTTTCTGATGCATAGCAAAGACTTTCTGGTGTAATTGATACACCAGACTATGGCCTGGATCATATCCCACTGTTGGTGATTGCCTTTAAGTCAAGCACGACTCAACGACCCTATGAACAAAAGGCCAGAACCCCCTCTACAATTATCTACATTCATCAAAGTTCGTAGAGTTTCCGGAGGCATGGTGTTTAGGAAGTGGATGCCACTCATTCTTCCCACTACTCTTTCTAAACATCTGCTTCCTTCTTGATTCCAGTCTGTGTCTGGGATGAGCAGATCTTTTTCCTTCCAGTCTGGACAGCTTGAAGTCCCCCACACCATGTGTGCCACGTCTTCCAGTGCCCTCCAGAATGCCCCCTTCCCCCGCCCTCCCCAGCCTCTCCCTCACTGCCATGCACCAAGCCACTCTTTCCTGTGTCACAGCTAATGCTCCAGGTGCTGGTCCAACTGTAAGATGAAGTCTTTGCCCGCAGGGAATGGTGGGGGTAGACAGAGAGAGGACCACCAAACCAATCGGCAGCTTAGTGTCCCGAGAAGTTAGTGTTAAGAGGAGGAATAGAGCAGGGGGGAAATGGACAGGTGGGCCCCTCTGAGCAGGTGAAACTGAGACCTGGGTGATGTGAGAGAGTGAGCAAGGTGTGTCTCTGGGGATAGAACTTCATAAGAGAGAGAACAGCCAGTGCAAAGGCCCAGAGACACTGGGGGCATCTCTGGGGCTCCTGGCTGCTTGCTGCTCTGTAGCCAAGTGTAGGTCACTTTGGAAGCTGCTGTCTGTCCTTTCAAAGCCTTGTGTGTGTCCTGCCACCCAGGATGATTCTCTGGGTCTTCTTTCTCTGGACCGTCCCTCGAGGAGGTGTCGCAGGATTGGTTGTTAATGGACTTTGTGACTGGTTGGAGGCTGGCCAGGCCCAGCCCAGAACATGCAACATGGTCCCTCCTCTCTTGCAGACGTCGGCTGGGTCCCCACGTCTGCCTCTCAGGGTTCGGAAGTGGCTGCTGTCCTGGCTGGGCACCTTCCATGGGCAGTGGACACTGTACCCTGCGTAAGTGCCCGTCCCTCGGCCCCCAGCCTCCTCCACCGCCAGGGCATGCTGCCGGCCTGGCCTTTGGCGGCCCCCATGTCCTCACCTGCATTTCTCCTCTCAGCCCTCTGCTCCTTTGGCTGTGGGAGTGGCATCTGCATTGCTCCCAATGTCTGCTCCTGCCAGGATGGAGAGCAAGGGGCCACCTGCCCAGGTAACGGGATGGGCAGGCCTGGTGGGAGTGATGGTATTAATATACTTAGATTTCTGCCAGCCACTAGGCACTTGAGGCATATTGGTTATATCACCTTCCAAAGACTTTTATCAGAAAGAACTTGTCATTCCCATTTTCTAGATGAGGAAACTGAGTCACAGAGGTGGTCCAGGATCACCCAGTTTAGTAAATGGCAAAGCTAGGTTTCAATTCAGACCTGTTTGCCAACAGAATCCAGGAGGAGCCACGGGGACGTGAGGGTGGTGGACACTGCAGCGGAGGTTTTGCTCAGGGATGGGGTGCCTGTTTCAGATGCCCACGGTCCCTGCGGCGAGTATGGCTGTGACCTGACCTGTAACCATGGTGGCTGTCAGGAAGTGGCCCGAGTGTGCCCCATTGGCTTCTCGATGACAGAAACAGCTGTTGGTATCAGATGTACAGGTGAGCTGCTTGTGAGTAGTGTGAGGGTCCCCTCACCCCCAGATTAGTGAGAGTGGGTGGGAGTTCTGTTCCCTCTTTTCTGTCCTGTTGGAGTGATTCCAGAGAGACCCAAGGGGGAAAGCTGAGAGTGGTGGGACGTATGGAAACCAGAGAAATAATGACACTTGTGACTTTACAGTGTTTACTGAGTGTCTGTTGTGGGTCAGCGTCCCTGGGTGCTGCAAACAGCTGGATATGGTAGTACTAGTACTCTCAGAAGTGCCTTGGAAGAAATGCTTGGTAATCTGCTTCCAAAAAGCTCAGTCATTGAAAACTCTTGGAGCGCTGCTATTCTCCTATGACTCACACATTGAGGATGACAGGGCACTAGATGGCTCAGGCTCTGAGCTAGTCAGGAGGGTGACTAGGTGCTCTGTGTGTTGTTACCCATGGAGTTCTGACTCTTGCTAATCCTTCACCAGGTTTTTTGAGGCTGTCAGTTTTTTTTTTTTTTAAATTTTATTATTTTGTGTGTGTACCATCAAGTTGGATCTGACAGGTACAGGAGGAGATTGCCCCTTCTTCTCCAGCAGAGCATCTGATGGATTCAAACCATGTACCTCTGGGATTGAAGTGCAGTTTCTTGCCACTAGGCCACCAGAGCTCCCTTGAGGCTGTCAGTTTTTATGGGAGGAGACTTGCCATCTTTCTCCTGCAGAAAGACTGGTGGAGCAGAGCTGCTAGCCTGTCAGCAGCATCACACTTAACGTGGCAGAGCTCCTTACTGTGGGGAAGGGAGGTAAGTAACAGGGCCACGGCAGCCCAGTCTAACAGGAACCAGGAAGGACAAGGTGGCTAAAAAGGAGGCATGTTAGCTCAGTGACTGACCGTCCACCGGTTCCTGAGGCTGTGAACTGTAACAAGAGGAGGCGGCCTAGTGAAACTACTGGTGGCTTCAAACCGCAGCCTTCAGGCTATTAGTACAGCTTGCTACAGACGGTACCACCACAACATGTGAAAAAAATGAGGGAGTGAAGGGGAAGCACACCTCCCCTCATTCTTATGTAAAAGTGTTACAGTTGACTCCTGGAAGATGCTTGGCATGGTGACAGCCTTGTCCCCAAGTTAAAAAAAAGCAGCAAAAAACTGCATATAACTTTTCACTGTCCCCAAAACAACTCCTCCTAATCTTTATCAGAAGGCTTAATTGACACAGTCAGCTAACACACATATGTAACATGCATTACAGGTAATATATTTATCTATCTATCTAATAAAAGCTACATAATTTTCAATGTTGTTGTAGCTGACCCTCTGATGGGTTTTCAGAGGCAGTTAATTGCATGGGAGGAGATTGCCCATCCTTCTCCCGTGGAGCAGCTGGTGGCCTCGAACCACGTGCCTTCGGGATTGCAGGGCAGCTTCTTGCCACCAGCCCACTAGAGCAAGTTAAAGGGATGTTTGTAGAAAGTACAAAGTTTTCATCCCTGCAGGTTTAGCTGCAACAACTGCTTAATTAATTCCCTTTTCTTTTTTTATACAGTGGTCTTTACTTGAACTTCCTTTAAAATGGTGTTCAGCCACAGCTCCAGACCCCAGTCCACAGCATGCATCGAGGAGTTCACTTTTTCTTGTAATGTCGTGACTTTTTTCCTGCTTCTTGGGAGAGTTTCCAGTATTGCTAGTGGCAGTTTGTAAGGTTCCGTGTTATTGTTCAAGGTTTATAGTATTGTACTAGACTCGAGAAAAATTCCCTAGAACCCCAAGAGATCACTTTTTACTGCTATTTCACAATTTACTGGAGAGACTAAATACATATGGTTTGGTGCCAACATTAAAAAAATCCACGCAACTAGACATGCATGGTTCAAGAGTCCACTGTGTGCTTTGAAAAGAAAGAAATTCCTCTCACCGGAGTCTGTTACCTGATCTGGAGGTAACCACTGTTATCTATTTCTTATTTATCTTTTCAGAGAGTAGAAAAGCCTTTTTTTTTGGGGGGGGGGGCACTGTAACTTTGCAAAAATACTGCTTCTCATGGATATGAAAGAATGACTCAGAACATTGTTGTTATTAGGTGCTGTCGAATTGAGTACGACTCATAGTGACCCTATGAACAAAAGATCTGAAGCATGTTGTATCCTGTGCCATCCTCACACTTCCTGACACACAAGAGCCCATTGCAGGAGTCACTGTGTCAATCCACCTGGTTCATGGTCTTCCTCTCCTTTGCCAACCCTCCACCCTTCCCAGCATCATGTCCTTCTCCAAGGAATAGCCCCTTCTAGCAACATGCCCAAAGTGTGTGAGGCAAAGCCTCATAATTCTTGCCTCCAATGAGCAGTCTGGCTACACCCTCTCTTGGTCATCTGTTCCTGGGATCTTCAGTGCTCTTCTCCAACACCACAGCTCAAAGGCATCAACTTTTTCTGTCATCCTTATCCATTGTCCAGCTCTCTGATGTATAGCAAGTAATCAGAAAGACTTAGAACATTTGAGGAGAAAAAGGTAGAAAGATGAAAGTCAGCAATCCCCATCTCTCAGTTTCTAAAATGTTGAAGATTTCAGCACACACCACCCCCAACCTTTATCCTGAGGTATGGATGTGTGTTAGGTAATGCAGAGATGTGTATATGGTTTTTATTTAACAAATATTGAATCATAGATACTTTTGTTCCTTATTCTTCACACCATTATATCATATCACTAACAATTCCTCGCAGCTGCTGTAATTTAACTACCTGTTCCTCGGTTGTGACCATTTTGATTGTCTGCAATGCTGCAGTAACAAGACCTCTGGGTACATTTCCCAGAAGGAGAGATGCTGGGTCAAAGGGTATCAACTAGTGAAGTCTTGGCGCCCATGGGGTGTAGCACAACGCCCCTTCAGAGAGGATGAAGCATTAGGTTCTCCTCCAAGTGCTTTCCATGGGATCGCCTTGAAGTCAGAAATAAGTGGACAGCAGCTGGGTTTTTGAGCATCTCCGGATGCCAGGACTTTCCACACGCACGCTTTTAGTTGCAGAGACACACTGCACCAGAGAAGAACCAGAAAAGAATGCAAAAGCTTGGCCTCTGAGCAACCGGAGCAGGAAGCACGGTTGTTTCTGGGAGGGCACCAGAATATGCTTTGGGCATGTTCTTGGAGGTCGGTGGACGGGGTGGTTGTATGCATGATGGGTGTGTTCTTGAAGGTCAGTGGGCGTGGTTGTAGATGGGATGGGCCATGTTATTGGTAGACAGTAGGCGTGTTCTTGGAAGCCTGCGGGTATGACTGCAGTGTGATGGGAGTGTTCTTGGTGGTCAGTGGGCGTGGTTGCACGCATGACGGGCGTGTTCTTTGGCAGGCGGTGGGCGTGTTTGTAGGCACAATGGGCGTGTTCATAGAGGGTGGTGGGCGTGGTTATAGGTGTGCTCAGCAAACAGTGGGCGTGTTCTTGGAAGTCTGTGGGCGTGGTTTTAGGCAGGTTGGGCATGTTATTGGCAGACGGTGGGCGTGTTCTTGGACGGCTGTGGGCATCTTTGTAGGCACAATGGGCGTGTTCATGAAGGGTGGTGGGCGTGGTTCTAGGCGCGATGGGTGTGCCCTTGGAGGGCAGTGGGCGTGGTTGTAGGTGCGATGATGTTCTTGGTGGGTGGTGAGTGTAGTCTGGGGCTGTGGGCGTGGTCTTGAGGGCTGGCTGGGAGGAGAGTGAGTAGGTGGTGGGTCATAAGCAAGGATGGTGTGAGGAGGGTGGCAGGCGCCAGCAATTAGGTTAAAGGGTGAGGAGATTCAAGTGCAGGGTGTAGCGGGCAGAGCTGCGCCCGCAGATCCTCAAGGGCTGCTAGGTAAAGAAATGTGAATCAGACTTGGGGAGTTCCACTACCAGTCCCTCTTTTTTAAATTTTTTATTAAATTCTATTAATTTTAATGAACATTTACAGAGATTTTGGGTTTCCATCCATTCATTGTGGCTACCAGCCTCTCTTATTCCAAGCCCTGGCTAACCTTCCTAAAGAAGTTCCAAGGTGGACTTCCTTAGGCTCAAAGCTAAGTCAGGTCACCTCAGTCCGGCATTCAGGGTGCCCCAAACTGGTTGCTGGCAAGTTGGTTCCGACCAAGGGGACCCCATCGTGTCGGAGTAGAACTGTGCTCTGTAGGTGTCAGTGGTTGATTTTTTTGGAAGCAGATTGCCAGGCCTTTCCTCTGAGGCGTCAGGGGGTGAACTCAAACCTCTAACTTTTGGACAACTAAGTAAGATTGACTTAAGCATTTGTACCACCCAGGATGCATCTTACCCCATCTCTAGCAAGAGTTCTTTAGCAAGACCCTTACTGTTAGAAAATTAGAATTTCAGTCATAGTGGCCACCTGCCTGCACCTCCCAAAGGAGCCCAGGTGTTGCTGCAGTGCCCCTCTATCCCCTTATCCACTCGTGCGGCCCCTCCTCTTTGATGCCCATTCTGTCCTCTGGCCCATTCCCTCCCTCCGGATGTACCTGCTGTGATGGCCCACCTCACCCCCACCACACAGCACTGCTGCCTGGTATGTGTCTCTCTCCCTGTTATCACCCTGCAGACTTCTGGAGAGTTGTCCCAGCTGTGTCCTCGGCAGCCCCCTCCATCAGGTCGAGTGCATACAGTCGGTATGCACAGTAGGCATTTAAGGGAATGATCCTGCTGACAATTCAATCAGCCTTCCTACCACACTCCACTGTCCTTTCCTTTAGGGACTCATGGGTTTATCCTGTGAATGGGAACAGTTCTCGGTCAGCTTGGTCTGTGTGGGGTCACAGGAGGGACCCTGGCTCTGACCTAATGTAGGATGATACCTGCTGCATGATCTGTTTTGTTGGGGTGTGGGCAGACCCAGCATGAGCGAGGGCTCCTCCAGGGGTCAATTTTCTCACTGCATCCCGATCACAGCACAGTCACACTCAGAGTGGGCTATGCGAGGGTCTTTTTTTCTCTCCCCAGATATCAATGAGTGCTTAAGCTCCTCTTGCGAAGGCCACTGTGTGAACACGGAAGGCGGCTTTGTGTGTGAATGTGGGCCGGGCATGCAGCTGTCTGCTGACCGCCACAGCTGCCAAGGTGAGTGGACAGAACCCAAGGACCTTGCTGTTGGTGGGGATGGGGAGGTGACCAGGCTGCTACCTGCACTCCTGGACGCTGTTGCCACCATAATGTGCCGTCCAGAATTATTGTATTTCCATCCCATTTTACAGATGAGGATATTGAGGCTTGCCCATGGTCATTCTGTTAGTAAGTAGTGGAACCAGGGCTTGAATTGTAGCTGTTGCAGGATGGAAGGATGGTGTGAGGGGAAGGTCAGGGGTGGAGAAGGGAGACTAGGAGGGAGAAGAGGTGGAGCGAGGAAGTGGAGCTGGAGTGGGGCTGTGTGAAGGGCATGACAGAGTCATTCAGTCAGCCATCCATCCATTCATCCATCCATCCATCCATCCATCCATCCATTTTCTTGTTCCTTCCACCAGTGCCAGGCTCTGGAGATTCAGGGAGGAGGAGACTTTCTGCCATCCAGTAGCCCCAGTCTGGTGGGAGACGGGAGCACCAAGGGTGGGATGAGGGATGAGTGTTGGGGGAACCCGGAGGAGGGAAGGAATCTTACAAGTGAGCAAGATGAGATTAGTCTTTTCCTCTTCATTGTTCGATGCCATTGAGTCGGTTTCCTCTCACGTTACACCTGCACAACCCTCACAGTCATTGCTGCGTCTGGGCACGTTGTTGCAGTACTGTGTCAGCCCATTTCCCCCTGTACTTCTGCTTTACCAAGGATAAGGTCCTCGGCACAAATCCTAGCTGCAGAAATTCTCACTTAATCAAGGCAGATACAAAACTATCCAAAGTCCTCCTTGATACTGTTGTGCCCCTGTGTGTGGTCTGAGTGAAAGTTTACAGAGCAAATTAGTTTATTTTTCTTTCTTTTTTTTTTTGCAAATTAGTTTCTTATTCAACAGATTTAGATACAGTTTGTGACATTATTTATGATTCTCTCAGTGTCCATCCTTCTCCCACAAAGCACAAGGTGAATTTGAACCATGTGCCCCTGAGATTGCAGCACAGCTTCTTACCACTAGGCCACCAGAGCTCTTATGATTCCCTCAGTAAGAGCGCAGCATTCTTCCTGCTTGCTACCTGTGGTCCTCTTTTCCACTCATCCTTTCTTACTTCTTCCTGCCTCGAGAGCTTTGTTTTTTCTTTATTTTTATTTAATTTTATTATTATTATTATGATGATGATGATGTGTGTGTGTGTTGCCACTACGCCACCAAAACTCCCTGGGTTTTGTTTTTAAGCAAACACTGCCCTTGTGGTCTCATGTGCTTGAATGCTCTGAGTACTACTATTTCCTTTATTATTATTCACAGTGTTATAGACTTGTCTGCTGTTTGGCTGCAGGGTGATCCCTGGGAGTGGGTTCAGTCTTAGTTTTGAAGGGCATTGTATTGTGTTCTGTGTGTTTGCCATTTTCATAAATTATTAAACCTTTTTTTAAGAATATGACAGTAGGTCTAGGCACCTTCTTCTGTCTGCACCTTCTGCTGGAGAATAAGCCTGGTTCTCAGTCTGACTGCAGCCTTCTTGTCAGTGTGCATTACACGTGTACACATGTTTGTGCACTTACCATGATGCAACAATAAGAGAGTAAGGATAGTAAGAGAATCATGGTGTAATCAGGAGAGCCGCAGGGAGCCTCTGGTGGCCTCGTGGTAAGGAGTTGCTGCACAGCAATCCCCAAGGCATGAGAGGTTTGAATCCACCAACTGCTCTGAGGAAGAAAGATAGGCAGTCTCCTCCTGTGCGATTAAGCTGTCTCTGAAAACCTTCTTGATGGTACATAACAACAGGGAGGACTCTGATGGCATAGTCCGTAGGGAGTTGTGCTGCTACCCCAAAGGTGGTGCCTCTCCAGCAGTTCAAATCCACCAGCAGCTCTGTGAATGGGCAGTCTCCTCCTGAATGATTTACAGCCTCCCAGAAACCCACTGGAAAGTCAGCTGTGAAGAAGATGAGCTGAGTAAGTTAACAGTCGCTGAGGCCTCATGTTCCAGATACTTTATTATTTCATTTGCTTCCTAAAAAGAGTCTGTTAGTCCTACTTACGTCCTGTTGTTGTTATGTGCCGTTGAGTCTACTTCCCTGATTATTTTGTTGTTGCGTACCATAAGAGCCGAAACCAACTCATAACTGGTTTCAGAGGCAGTTGATTGCATAAGAGGATATTGCCTGTCCTTCCCCTATGGGACAGCTGGTGGATTTAAACTGAGTACCTTTGGGTTGTCAGCACAACTCCTTTTCACTAGGCCAGGAGAGCTCCCTATTAATTATTGAAGGTCAGGTTAGAGCTGGGATTAGATCCCAAGAGATCCTCTGCATTATACCCATCCCCACTCCTCAATGGTATGTCTTGAAAATCTCTCCATACCAGGGTAGTAGGTGCCCAGTTCTTTTTCTCGGCTGTGGCACTCTGCAGGGCAAGCATTCTGTAGTCTTCTAACTTTTCTTTTTATTGATGACCGTGTTGATTTGGTTACAGTGTGGCACATATTTTTAAATTAATTTTAATGAAAGATTACAGAGACTTAGGGTTTCTAGTCATTTATTGTTGCACTTTTCTCCCCCCCCCCATTCACTCTTCTCCTTGAAAAGAAAAAGTCTTTCACTGTTATGCAATCTCTCCCCACAAGTCCACTCCACTGTGTAGCCTTCTGGACTTCTGTAATGACAATAATACCTAATCATATATCCCTTTTAAACAGTCTCTCCCTCATCTGTTTCAAATGCAAAATAATCATTCCTCCTCTCCTTTTCTGTCTTCCCTCAACCCTGATGTCAGTCTCATTTTACAACAGTAGCCCTATACAATATTTGTCCTTTTGTGACTGAGATATTTCACTGAGCATAGTGTCCTCTAGGGTCATCCATTTTGCATAATATTTCATGAGTTCCTTGTTTTTAAATGCTGCATAGTATTCCATAGTGTGAATACACCAGGGCTTCTCTGTCCATTCGTTTGTTGATGGGCACTAGTGTGGCACATTTTAAAACAACATGGGGAAATGTTTACAGACAAAGTACTATAGAGTCAAAGTTTTGAGGTAGAAGTAGAAGTTATTCAGCCAAAGAAGAGGAGAATATGGGAAAAGGGGGAGTCCTCTGAGAGTGGGGTGCCCTTGGAAGATGGTAAGACTTGAAGCCAGAGCAAGAGTGAGGCCAGGAAAGAGGTGGAAGGGGAGCCTGGGCCATGCTTACAGGAGTGTGAGTTTGATGCTTTATCTTAGGGCTGTGTGCAAAACAGAGAAGCTGGGAGCAGGGATGGCTTCATGAGAGGTGCCCCTTTGGTAGAACATCCTGGATGCTGTGCAGGGGATAACGTGAAGGAGGAGGAATACAGGAAGGTCACTTACTCATTGCCTTCAAGTCAGATCTGACTCACAGCCGAACTTCCAGGTGGTTTTCAGAGGCTATAAATTGCATGGGACAAAATTGCTCATCATCCTTTTGCAGAGAGGCTGACAGATTCCAACTCTGTGTCTTTGGGTTGGCAGTACAACTCCTTACCGTGAAGCCACCAGAGCTCCCATAAAGATTGTTATTGTTATGTGCTGTCAAGTCACCTGCAACCCATAGTGACCCTATGTACAACAGCTCTGAAGCATGCCCTGTTCTGAGCCAGTCTCACTGACTCCGATTCACCTAACCTCGTACCCCAGTTAATGTATCAATCTATCCATCTCATCCGGGATCTCCCTCTCCTGCACTGACCCGCCACTCTTCCAAGCCTGCTGTCTTTCTTCAAGGACTGTTTCCTCCTGGCCACATGCCCAAGGTATATGAGACAAAACTTCCAAATCCTAGCCTCCAAGGAGAAACTTGGTTTCACCCTCTCCAAGACAGACTTACTTGTTTTCTTGGTGGTCCGTGGTGTGTTCAAGACTCTTCTCGAGCACCACAACAGCATCGATTCTTTTTCTGTCATCCTTTGTCACTGTCAAGCTCTCTGATGCAAAGCCGTTTTACTCGTCATACAGGGTTGCAGTGAGGTGGAATTGACGTGACAGTACATTCCACTATCAACTGATTGAGCATGGACAGTGAGGAGGAAAGCGTTAAGGTGCTCTGTGGCCTTGTGAGGGGTAGGAAGGAGTAAGAGAGATGGGGCGACCATGTGTTTCCAAACTGTGTAGGATGTGGGCTCCAGCCTTGCCCCTTTTCCCTGCAGACACTGACGAATGCCTGGGAACCCCTTGTCAGCAGAGGTGTAAAAACAGCATTGGCAGCTACAGGTGTTCCTGTAGACCGGGCTTCCATCTCCATGGCAACCGGCACTCCTGTGTAGGTAAGGCTCCAGAGACACTGTTGTCTTCAACTTACATGGCCAGTCAGGACAAGGACTGGTGAGTCCAGGACAAGGAGAGGCCACCCAGCTGGGCTCCTGTTGCCCTGAGTCTGTTGCGCAGAGCCTGTCTCTCCTGGGGGGGTTGGTGTGACTCTCCAGAGAAGACCCTGTCTTGGATCTTCCTGACCATGTGTCCCTTGGTTTCATCCCATGCCACTCCCAGATACACCCCAAGGGTTCCTCTCTGCTCACACATTTTCTTGGCTGACTTTGACCCCCTGGGTAAATAAGGCACCTTATGTGTTGGTTGTTACCCTGGTTTAGGAGACACCTGTTTGCTCAACTCATTAGCAGAACTTTCCAGAAAGGAAGCGGTATGTTGGGCTTGAATTTGATTCTTGGGTTGAAGATGAGGTTCCCTGGACCTGATAAAAAGACCTTGTTCCATGAAGTTAGGGGTTTGTTCCGAAGCCGAATTGGTGATGATTGAGACTCTTTTCCAGAAGCTAAACATACAAGGCCGTGGAAGGTGTGGAGAGATGCCCACCTCACCCTGCCTAGTGCGGGATGCTGAGGGCCGGGTCAGTTAACTGTGCATCCATGAAACACCACTGGACGTAGGAGCCCCTCCCAAAAGGGACGTGTACTCAGGGCCACCCCAGCCATCCGAGCCACAGCCCTTACCCTGGAGCGGGGAAGGGCCCCGCAAGGACACAGCGGAGAAACGCCTCCAGGCTTTTGGGTCAAAGGATGGGACGGTGAAGGAGAACTGGGCAGTGTGGCGGTGTCAGTAGCGAGGCTCTCCCACAGATGTAAACGAGTGTCGGCGGCCGCTGGAGAGGCGAGTCTGTCACCATTCCTGTCACAACACCGTGGGCAGCTTCCTGTGCACCTGCAGACCTGGCTTCAGGCTCCGAGCTGACCGTGTGTCCTGTGAAGGTGAGTGCTGCCAGGCACCACTCTCCTGCCAGGTCCCACCCTCTTGGCACAGACCCTACCCACTCAGCACTAGGCCCCACCCTCTCCGTGCTGGTCCCACCCACTCAGTCCCAGGCCCTGTCTTCCACTACCAGGCTCCAATCTCCCATCACCAGGCTCAGTCCTCTCAGTGCTAAGCTGTGCCCACCCAGGAGCCGGTCCAGGCGTCCACTGCCAGGACCCAGCCTCTTATTACCAGGCCCCGCCCTCTCAATGCTGTCCTCTCCCATTTAGTACCAGGTCCAGCCTTACACTGCCAGGTCCCAACTTCCCATCACTTGGCCCAGCCTACTCAATGCTAGGCTCTCTTTAGTTGGCACTAAAGCCCTGCCTTCCCCCTGCCAGGCCTCAACCACGCATCAACGTACCCGGAATTCTCAGCACCAGGCCACACCTCCAAGCATCAGGTTCCACCCTCCCAGGGTCAGGCTCTAACGCACACTATAGGCCGGAAGTGCCCATCATAGGGACACGCCCCCTCACTACTAGGCCCCACCCACCCACCCATAGCCTGCTCTCCAAAATGCAGACCCTGCCTTCCTAGCACATGGCCCCGCCCCGGACTGCAGGCTCCGCCCATCCCATTGAGACTTTTCATCCTTCTTTCTCTTACCCTCCTCCCCCGCAACATCTTGAATTTTCTGATGCCCTGCTTTCTTCCTCAGTTTTTCTTCCACTTTTTTGTCTCCCCCATTTTTTTTACTATTTCCTCAGCCTTCTGTCTCACCCAAATGGTAAAAGACCTTTTAAAAATGCAAAATATTAGAGAAATACATAGTAGATATAGATGCTCAGAGAGAGGCACTTCATTGTTATTTTATGTTTCATTTAAATATTTTATTGTGATTTGAGTGGAACTTAACAGAGTAGATGGCTTTTCCCTTCAACAAACCAGTCATACACGTTTTGTTTTAGGACACTGCAGTCTGCACGTTGTAAGGACACTCGTCCCACTTCCTCCCTGTGATTCTTGTTTCCGCTCACCCTCCATCCTCCCTCCCTGCCTTCTGAGCAGTGTCCCTGGGCAAAAGGCTCCCCTTTTGATCTTTGGTGGTTGATTCTTCTGAGGACTAAATACGTCGCTGGGTTTACTGTTCACCTTGCTGACCTACCTGTTTGGTTAAAGGCTGAGACACAGGAGTGCGTTTAGTTCCAAGTTCAAAGGGTAACTAAGCACCACAGTCTTGTGGGGTCCCACCTGTCTCTGTTAAGTCCATAAGTCTGGCCATTGATATGAATTTTCATTTTGTTTCACTTTTTTTCTCCTAGTTGATCTGGGACCCACTATGTAATCCCTTTCAGAAAGGTCAGTAATGGTAGCCGGGAACCACCTAGTTCTTCTTGGTCTCAAGGTTGAGGCTCATATGTCTCATTAGTTCTTGAGACTAGTGGTTTCCATGTTTCTTTGATTCTCTTTACCCTGGACTGACAGAGACCAAAGGTTGCACCTTCAATGGTCACTCACAAGCTTTAAAGACCCCAGTCAGTACTTGTCGAAGTAGGCCATAGAATGTCTTTATTATGCCAGCCAGCCTTGACGCTTGCCAAGACTGTGGTTTCCAGGGCCCAGGAGATTACAGCCAGTTTGCACCGGGTCATGTCAAACTTCTCTTCCATACTTTAAGAGCATGCATAGATAGGAATATGAACGGCTCCAGCCGCTGTAGTTCCTCAAACACTTAGAATCATCAGGTGATCCCACAGGTCAGCTCCTAGGTATGTGCCCTAGTGAGGTGAAAGCAAGACTGCAGACAGACATACGTTTACCTGAATTCAGAGCAGCACTGAATTCAGAGCTAAAGGGTTGCAGCTGCCTGCGTGGTCATCCGCCAGTCAATGGGTCAACACATTGTGCTGTGTGTCCATACAAGGTATCATTCAATTGTAAAAGAGTTCTCAGTCATACCTCATGTGGATAAACCTTGAAAACATTATGCTAAGTGAAATATGAAAAAGGGCGGGAAAAGCACATGTACTACAGAATATCTGGAAGAGGCAGGTGCAGAGACAGAACTAGGTTAGTGGCTCCCGGGGCCTGGGAAGAGCGGAGAATGGGGGCTTTTTTAAAAAAAGCCTATAAGTACGTGCATTGTGTTATGTAGGAGGCGAGTGGCACAGTAGTTAAGTGCCTGGCTGCTAACCAAGAGGTCATCAGTTCAGATCCCTTTGGCCTTGAAAACCCTGTGCAGTGATTCTACTTTGCCACTGAGTCTGAACTGACTCGATGCCAGAGGGTTTAAGATTGGAATTGGGAAGCCACCAGACTTCCAGCTTCAGCATGGTCCCTCTTGCTGGTGTCGTCCTGTCCTACCTGTCTTCTTGTGGGATTGCACCAAGCCCCAAGTGGGGTGGCCTTTCTGTTGGTGAAGAAACTGCCCGGAGGTATTCGGGAGTTTGTGGCTTGGACTGAGTCCCAGCTCCCTGGAATCTCTGTCCCCCTGTATCCTCCAGAGAGCCCTGTGCTTCATTTCAGCCTTCCCGAAAGCTGTTCTGGCTCCCTCCGCCATCCTGCAGCCCCTGCAACAGCCCCCCAAGATGCTACTGCTGCTGCCAGAGGCTGGACAGTCAGCTCTCTCCCCCGGACACAGCCCGCCTCCTGGGGCACCAGGCCCTCCCACTGGAGTCAGGACCACCTGCCACCCACCTCTTACCCCAGCAGTACCCACAGCTTTCCCATCTGCTCCGAGCCGGCTGCTCTCCACTTTGATGGCCACTCTAGTGCCCACTTCCTCCTTTCTGGGAAGCCCCAGGCCTCCCTCCTCTGTCCTCCAGAAGGAGTTGGTGACCCCACCTCCACCCCAGGGCCCTGAGCCTGGTGGGAGGCTTACGCTGGGGCCTGCTCCCTGCCAGCACCGAGGAGCCGTGTTCAAGTCAGGGAGCCACTGGACAGAGCCTGAGTGTGCCCAGTGCTGGTGCGAGGTGGGTGTGAGGGTTCCTGGGCTGCCCGAGGCTGGTGCCTGGGCCAGGTGGTGGCCGTAACTTCCTCTTTTGCTTCCAGGATGGGGAGGTCAGCTGTGGAAAGGTGACCTGTCATGCTCCCTGTTCCCACCCAATTCCTGCCAGAGATGGGGGCTGTTGTCCAACGTGTACAGGTGAGAGCCAATGCCAGGGAGTCTGTCCTGCCTCACGCCAGGGCCCCCACTCCGCCAAGTTCCCTTCTCACACCTCTCCTGTGACTCAGGGGCTGGATCTCAAACTCTGATGTCCCTCAGAATCTTGTGGAGGGTGTATGAATTCCTAGCTGTTGGGCCCCATCACCAAGTTTCTGCTTAAGCAGACCTGGGACAGGCTGAGAATTTGCACACAGATGGAGAAGAGGTTGAGGTTGTTAACAATTTCAGCTTATTTGGCTCCACAATCAACACTCTTGGCACCAGCACTCAGGAAATCAAAAGATGAATTGCACTGGTGTAATCTGATGTTAGGGTCCTCTCTAGAGTACTGAAGAGTAATGACACCAGTCTAGGGACTAAGGTGCACCTCATCTAGGCAGTGGTCTTCGCAATTACTTGCAATGCATCAGAGAGCTGGACTAAAGATGACAGAATAAGAATCGATGCCTTTGAGTTATGATGCTGGAGAGGAATATGGAACATATCATGGACTGCCAAGAGAATAAGCAGGTCTATCTTGGAGAGGGTGAAACCAATTTTCTTCTTGGAGGCTAGGATTTGGAAGCTCCATCTCACATACTTTGGGCATGTGGTCAGGAGGGACCAGTCCTTGGACAAGGACATCATGCTCAGAAAAGTGGAGGGATCGTGCAGGAGAGGAAGACTCCAGATAAGATGGATTGGTACAGTAACTAGGGGAATGAGAATAGGTGTGTCGGAGTCCATGAGACTGGCTCAGGACAGCATGGGCTTCAGAGCTGTTGTATGTTAGGTTACTATGAGTCATGGACAACTTGATGGCACATAACAACAGCAAGTTCTCAGAGATACTGATGATGCAGGTGGGAGGGAGCACACTTTGGGAGACACTGGCCTCTGCTGAAGGAGCCCCGGTGGTGCAGCAGGTAAGCACTCAGGCGCTAAAGGAAGGGTTCAAACCCCACCGGCTGCTCTGTGGGAGAAAGATGTGGTCTCTGAACACCTGCCTGCTGGAGGGTCAGCGATGAGTCTGTTCTGACTCAGCGGCAGTGAGTGACCGAGTGAGCGACCTTGTGAGCTGCTGCGTACACTTGTGGGTTCACGCACGCACGTTAGAACTGGGCTGGGTACAGAGCAGGCACTCAGCAAGCATCAGCTGTGCAAGGGCTGAGCATCCCAGGCATGGCCAAAACCCAGACACATCTGCCTTGGAGAAAGTGCAAGCGGGCTGCTCCTTAGCGGCGAGGATGGTGCACCTTCACCTCCTGTACTTTGGGCCTGTTGTCAGGAGGGGCCAGTCCTTGGAGATGGACACGTACTGGGAAAGGTGGAGGGTCAGCGAACGAGAGGAAGACCCTCAACAGGATGCATTGACACGGAGACTCTAACAAGGGGTCTGAGCACAGCAGAGACAATGAGGTTGGTGCGGAGAAGGGCAAGGTTTGGATTTGATGTTGACCAAGTCGAGGTCGACTCCACAGCATTGAACAACAACAAACAACATCCGAATTCCTTTTTTTTTAAATTTTATTTTTTTATTTTTGTGTGTGAGTGTACCGTCAAATCAGATCTGACTGGTACAGGAGGAGATTGTCCCTCCTTCCCCGGCAGAGCATCTGGTGGATTCAAACCGTGAGCCTCTGGGATTGTAGTTGCAGCTCCTTGCCACTAGGCCACCAGAGCTCCCCTACAACATCCGAATTCTTAACACTGCTTCCACAGAGCTCCGCACCCTCCCTGTGCCCAGGAGTCACGGAGCTGCTGCTTCTCCAACCCTCACAGAACAGGCATTTGGAAAAGCCTAACTGATTATTTGGGTATCTGCCCTCTCCTGGGGCTCCCAACTTGCCAGCACGGGCCAGGGAGCTGATGGGTGGAACCTGCGTAGATCCAGTGTTGGTGGAATTCTTGCCTTCTGTGTGGGAGAAAAGTAGAGGGTCAGTGGAAGAGAGGAAGACCCTCAACGAGATGGACTGACACGGACTGCACCAGCGGGCTGGAGGATGGTGGAGATGGTGAGGAAGGCTGGAGAGGACGAGGTTTCTATCTGTTGTTCAGGAGTCAGAGGTGACTCGAGGCACCAGCAGTTACAGCAACACGTGGGAGATCTGAGTCTGATTCTCAGCCAGTGCACTTCCCGGCCTCTTTTCTGCCCAGAGGAGCTTCAACACATCAGCCTGAGTGTCTGTTAGTCTGTGGTGGTGACTACCATCTGGCAAGCAGGCGTATGTGTTGCTGTGATACTGAACGGATTTCACAAGAATTTCCAGACTAAGACTAGGAAGGAAGGCCTAGCAACCCAACCTACTTATGAAAATCAGCCAATAACAGGCCGAAGGATCACCCTGGTCTTTTCTGCAACTAATCAAAGGGATGGTGCGGACCAGGCAGATCATTCCATTGTGCATGAGTCTGGGGCCGACTTGACAGCTGTCAACAGCTGAGACAGCCTCGGTGTTGGCCTGCAAAGGGTGTCACATCTGATGGACAAGACAGACAGACAAGGAGACAATGGCAGTAGGCTGCTGTGGAGTCAGAGCACTGATGAGGTTATAGCCTGATTATGAGGGCCAGAGAGGCTTCCCTGATGGAGTGCTGTCCCTGAAGGGTGGGTTCCCTTGGGGAAGAGACTTGGGGGCCTTAATGGACAAGGCTGGAAGCTGGGTCTGTGCAGACGCCCACTCTTGCTTAGGAGCATGAGGACCTGCTGGGTTTGGAGGGCCATGAGGTGGCCAGGCTGGTGCATTGCCAATGCAGACCAGGGCCCAGGAGGCCAGCAAGGAGGTGGTGACAATGGTGCAGGTGAGAGAGGACAGTTCCTCCCAGATAGCAAGAGCTGTCCCATTCCTGGCCAAGGAACCAGCCCCTCTTCCTACAATATCAGGTGTGAAGCACCGCGGAGCGCTCGTCCCCAGGGGGCGGCTCCTAGCCAGTGAGGTAAATAGATGTTCTCAACTGGAGAGATGGATGATAAATATGCAGACGGACAAGCACCATCTGTCATTACATACTCCCTTAAATATTACCAGAGAGATGGGGGTGGGGAGTAGAGTGGGGCTCACTGTCAGGGTGGCCAGGAAAACCTGTCTGAGTTGCCCCTGGAAGGATGGGGAGGAGCCTGCCCAGGACCGTCTGGCGACCCTTCTTGGCCCCATGCCTCCTAATTGGACCAGTATTCCATGGTCCCAGACAGTTCTGGGGTTACCAGACATGAATGCATCTGTCTTGGTGTCACCGTGGTTGACCATTAGTAGGTGCATCTGGGTTGGTTCCCCAGGTGTCATCCAATTCTGTGTTTCTGCACCCACCATTCCTGGGGGCATCTAGGACAGGGACAGTGACCCCAGAGAGCTGACGCCTGGAAAAATCCCGAGTCCTCGGGCTTCCTGTGCTTTCAAGAGCCTGAGGCCCCCACCTCCTGTTTGTCCTTCAAAGGCTGTTTTCACAGTGGCGTCATCCGAGCGGAAGGCGACGTGTTCTCCCCGCCTGACGAGAACTGCACCGTCTGTGTCTGTCTGGTAAGTTGCCCAGGCTCCCCAGGGCTCAGGGGTGTTTTCTTAACCTTTGGAGGTTTTAGGCAAAGGGCAGGGGAGGCATGGTGAATGCCAGCAGATGTTTCGAATTGGGGACTTTGGTCAGGACCTTTAGGATCTAAAGGCTGGGGAACCTCGAAGGCTTTGGAGCACCGGGGAGGTGTCTGCTGAGCCGAAAGAGCAAACAGGCAAACAGGGTCCATTTGTTTAGGGAGCCAAGGAGACGAGGTCCGTGGAAACTGCCCACAGGGAGGTTGTCTTCCTCTCCAGGCAAAACATTTGGCAGCACCATAAACGTGTCACACTTGGGAGGGGACAAGTTGTCACCAAACCAAGAACCATTTGCTCCAGGCAGATTCACTCCTCCAAGATTAGCTATTAGGGACCAACTGTGTGCAGACTATGTGTCATCTTGGAAGAGTGAAGCCAGAATGCGCCTTAGGAGTGAGAATGATGTGCGACTTCATCCCACGTACTTGGCACACATCATCAAGAGGGACCAGTCCTTGGAGAAGGACATCATTTGGTAGAGGTTCAGTAAAAGAGGAGGGGAGCTTTAATGAGATGGAGAGGCACAGTGGCTGCCGTTGTGGGGTGAAGGCCAGCAGTGACCATGAGGATGGCTGAGGACCCAGCAGCATTTCCTTCTGCTCGGCAGTAGGCGTTGAAGCCGACTTGGCACCTGGCAATGTGCAGACACTAAGGCATTGGTGGTTCAGGGGTAGAATCTGCACCTCTGAATCGGACCAGGAGACTCTGTTCAACTCCTGGTCGGTGCACTTCCTGCATAGACACTGCCCATGTGCCAGTGGAGGTTTGGAAGTTGCTAAGATGTGCAATAGGGTTAAGTTGAGCTTCCAGACTAAGATTAGGAAAGAAGGTGTGGTGATCTTCTGAGAATCAGGCCCTGAAGACCTCCCATGGCCTTTTCAGTCGCTTGCTATGCATCTGCATCTGAGAGCTGGACAGTGTCTACGGATAACAGCAGTAGAATCGCTGCCTTTGGGCTGTGGTGTTGGAGAAGAGTACAGAACATCCCGTGGACAGTGAAAGGAACAACAGCGGTGTCTTGGAGAAAGTGCAATCAGAGTGCTTCTTTGAGGCAAAGATGGCGAAGCTGCCTCTCATGAACTTGGGGCATGTTACTAGGAGGGGCTGTTCCTTGGAATGGGAAGGATGCCAGGCTTGGAAAGGTGGAGGGATGGCAAAGGAGAAGACGACCTTCAACCAGGTGGATTGACACAGAGACTGTGGCCGTGGCTCAGGTGTGTCAGAGATGATAAAGACGACACCGGATAGGACAGGATTCAGATCTGTTGTTCACAGGGTCATCATGAGTTATGCTCCATTAGACGGCGCCAGACAACAACATTGGAGACCACTCATGAGGATGGTGCAGGACTGGGCAGCAATTTGTTCTTTTGTGCAGAATCCCCGTGAGTCGAGTGGCTCGACGGCAGCTGACAAGGTGTGCACACACAGTAGGTGCTGTCACTTGTTCTGCTCTGAGCACCCACTGTGTGCCAGGTGTCACCTGTGCTTTTCATCTGCTTCCGCACCATAGGTTCCCAGCTGCTCCTCAAGGCTGGCTTCGTGGCCCAGTTTTACACATGAGAAGCCAGAGGCTTGGAGGCGGCAGAGCTGGGATTTGAGCCAAGTGTCAGAGTCCGGAGCCCAGGCTCTGTCGGCCAATCACTCCTGCCACCTTCTGCCCATCTGTAACCACAGCTCCTGCTCTGGCAGCAGAGGGGAAAGCTGAGGTGCGGGAGACCTCCCTTTTCTTTTTTTTTTTTTTTTTATTTTTGTGTGAGTGTACCGTCAAATCAGATCTGACTGGTACAGGAGGGGATTGTCCCTCCTTTTCCCGGCAGAGCATCTGGTGGATTCGAACCGTGTGCCTCTGGGATTGTAGTTGCAGCTCCTTGCCACTAGGCCACCAGAGCTCCCCGAGACCTCCCTTTTCGAGCTCTCACTTTGTGGAGCATTAATGCGCCTCACAGTGGCAAGGCATTTATTTTAATAGATGATCTCCAAGTATCGTCTGTGAGGCATGGTTTCCAACCCATCTCGTAGACAGGCAAACTGAGGCTCAGCCACTTTGTCCCAAGCTACACAACTCATTAGTAGAAGACCTGACACTGGGGCTTGGGTCTGCATGACTCTAAAGCATAAGTTCTTAGTGATCTTAACATCAAATTTTTAAAATGTATTTTTTAGTGGTGATCTTTGAGTAGCCAATATAGCCCCCACTAGATTAAAACTCAGAGGCGCTAGTGAAAATCTGCCTCCCTAAAGGGGCAAGCCCCATTCCCAAGTCCTCAGTGTCCTTAGGGAACTCTTGGAAGGCTGGGCACCATGGATTCAGACGGAGTGTGTTCTAGTATCGTCTCCGACCACCCTACCAGCTTCTCCACAAGACACTATATCTCAGAGAGGGGGTGAGCTAAATCACAACCTAATAGATCGTAAGGAGCCTTGGTGGTGCACTGGGTGACATGTTGGGCTACTAACTGAAATGTTGGCAGCTCAAACCCACCAGATGCTCCATAGAGGAGGCAGTTCTCTGCTTATGTGTAGACTTATAGCCGTGGAAACCCAATGGGGAAGTTCTGCTTTGTCTTTTAGAGTCACTATGACAAAGAACCAGCCTGATTGCAGTGTGTTGGGTGTGGTGCGGTCTAAAGAGCAAAGATGTCACTTTATAGACTAAGGTGCGCCTGACCCAAGCCATGGTATTTTCAGTTGCTTCATGTGCATGGGAAAATTGGACCATGAATGAGGAAGACTGAAGAGGAAACCGATGCCTTTGAATTGTGGTGTTAGTGAAGAGTATTGGACATGTCAGGGCCTGCCAAAGAACCAGCAAATGTCATGGGAGAGATGCAACCAGAGTGTTCTTAGAACAGGGTGGTAAGACTTCACGGGCTTTAGCTGTGTTGTAAGGAGGGGCTGGTCCCTGGATACTGTGTTTGGAAAAGTCAAAGGCGAGCAAATGAGAGGAAGACCTTCAATGAGATGGATTGGCACAGTGACTGCAGTGATGGGCTCACATTCAGCAGAGATTGTGAGGCTGGCTGGCTCTCCACCTGTTGTGCAGAGTGTTGATGTGAATCAGAGTGGACTCAAAGGCGTTGACAACAGTGACAAGGACCTGGGTCCATGCATGATAGCCCCATGTCCACAGTGGCCTTGAAGGGTCCTAGTGGCTTCCACTGGACTAGGCAGGCAGTCGTCATCTTGGACTAGAAACCTTAGGTGTGATGTTAAATGGAGATTGAGCTGAGCGGAGATGAGGCTACCTCCTTCCACCTCGCACCATCCCATCTCTTGCCCCTTCCTCAGGCTGGAAACGTGTCCTGCATTGTGCCCAAGTGTCCACCCGGCCCCTGCCAGAGCCCTCCACAGTCGGATTGCTGTGCGTGTCTTCCAGGTGAGAGGTGGAGAGATGCAAATGAAAGTGTGTGTGTGTATGGTTGCCTGCACCTATGTATGTGTCCTTACATTATATGTTGAAGTAAGGTAAATGGGGGGAGCTCAGATGGCCTAGTGTGTAAGGAGCTCCACTGCCAAAGCAAAGACAGGCAGTTCGAATCTACCAGCTGCTCCCCAGGAAGACAGGCAGTTTCTTCCTAGGCAATTTACGGCCTCTGAAAACTTGCTGGAGGCTCAGCTTTGAATTGGTTCCAACTTCAAGACAGTGAGTTGAACTTGAGTTAAGGTTGACTGGTTCTTCTTGTTAGGTGCTGTCAAGTCGACTACAGCCTCTATGAACAAAAGATCTGAACTCTGTTCTATCCAGCACCATAGTTCCTGACACAAGAGCCTATTGCAGCTGTGGGAAAGAGATTGATTCCTGCTTTAGGAATGCAGGTCAGGTTAAATATTTCACATTGTCCATTGTTTTGGAGCACCTTGTATGTGCACAGTGTTTGGTGCCGGACACTGGCATGCCCTCTGCCCTTCAGTGCAGCAGCACTCAAGCGTTTGAGTCCAGTGGGGGCATTGCTCTGCTCTCCCTCCCCCGTGGACGAGGGTCCCTTTTGTTAGACATGTGCTGCTCTTTCCTGGAAGGACCGTATCCCTGTGGTGAACATTCCCCGACTCGGTCTGTGCCGTCCTGCAGTGCCGGGAACTGACCGCACCTGCTTAATCATTAATCCTTGTTTAAACTCTTCTGAGGAGGGCACCTCGTGGTCCTGATGAGGAAACTGGGACTCAGAGATGCAAGTCACCGGTTCAGAGACACACTGCCTCTTAGTAATGGAGCAGGGCATGAACTCAAGTCTACCTGATTTCAGAGCGCCTGTTCTTGTCTTATTTAATTGTTTAGAATTTAAGGTGCTTTTGTTTTTTTCATTTGAGTGAAGGTTTACAAATCATCATACTTCTTTTTTAAAACTGTGGTGAAAATGTACACAATAATATACTTGTCAGCACAACTTCCATGTTTGCAATTCACTGGCATCAGTCATGTTAGCTGACCCTCCAGTGGATTTTCAGAGGCAGTTAATTGCATGAGAGGAGATTGCCTATTCTTCTCCCACATAGCAACTGCTGGCCTTGAACCATGTGCCTTTGGGATTACAGCAGAGCTTTTTGCCACTGCCAAATCATTCCAGCACTCTTTTTTTTTTAATTTAAGTAAAGATTTACAAAGAGATTGGTTTTCAGTGATTTGTTCATGTAACATTTCCTCCTTCTCCTCCCCCAGTTCCCTTTGTAATGCTTGTCCCATTCCAGGCTAGTAATTGTCACACACGTAGCATCTAATCACCCATTCCTTTCAGAGTGACCTACCTTTTTACCCATTACAGTGCCGTCTACATTGTCATCTACCCATTCATTTCTCGCTTCCCTCTTCCTGCGTCTTGTACAATACAGGACTTATGCAGTATTTGTCCCTTTGTGACTGAGACACTTCATTCAACATCGTGTCATCCAGACTCATCTACATTGTATAGTGTTTTACCTTGAACCACTTCTCTCTTCCGCAGTGAGGTGCTATTTCCACGGTCAGTGGTATGCGGACGGCGCTGTGTTCAGTGGGGGTGGCGACGAGTGCACCACCTGTGTGTGCCAGGTAGGTGGGCTGAGGGTCTTAGAAGCTTCTGGAAGTGATGAGGGCTGGATCACAGGACTTTATCAGGAGAAGAGGTGCAGCCATGCAGTGGAGGGAGAACTGAGTCAGCACAGGGGGTCCGGGGACCTGTGTTCCCCAAGACCCTCCTGGAACCCAGGGAAGCTCACCCTTCAGTACTTTGTGTATAGAGTACCAGCTGTGTGCCTCATCCCTTCCCCTGTGTCGGGAAGCTCAGCTCACAGGCACAAGACAACCAGGGCCTCATCTGGCTGTGGGCTTCGGGGGAGCCCTCATGTTGGAAGAGATGCTGAGCTGTGAAGGGCTCCTGGCCGAGGGGTGCTGAGGGAGGTGGCGGGCAGGGATGGCAGTGCTGAGAACCCAGGTGTCCACCCTGGGTGAGCTCAGCATGGAAGAGCAGAATCAGGGAGAGAGGAGGCTGGGGACAGGCCCTGTGCCTCAAAGCAGAATCTGAGACGGGACTGTAGAACGAGGAGGGCCAGTGAGAGAAGCAGGAGTGGGCACTGGAGAGGCTGAGAAAGCTGTGGAATGGGAGAAGCCCAGCTGCCCGCTGACCCACAGGCTCGGGGTGCGGGTAGGGTGAACCATTCCCAGTCATATTCAGTCCATGGTCAATAATGGACTGTGTGCCATCTGCCTGCAGGAGTGGGGGTCAGAGTGACCTCTGGCATCTCTGGAGGGGGTTGTGCTCATTGGCCCAGGGCAGCACTTTGGGTGAAGGGAATCTGGGTAAGCACCCAGCCTCAGCTGCCGGCTTGATCCCATAGGGCTTTGGGCCAGGCCTGGGAATGTGGGCAGAGCAGAGCTGCCCCAGGGTGAGGAGCAGTGGCCAGGTTTCAGCAGTCCTTGGCTGCAGGGTGTGTGTGTGGGTGTGTGTGGGAGTGGGAGTGGGAACCTGGATGGAGCTGTGGTCTCCGTGGGCCTGCGCCACCCAGTGCAATGTTGTGCAAACTCCTGGGTCTCAGCCCAGCCTCAGTCTCCAGCCCTCAGTGAGGGTGTCATCCTTCGCTCTCCTCCTTGTTCACTGGTCATTTGTCACTTTTACTTGGGCAGGGGTTGGGGACAGAGAGGATAGTGGTCCACAAGCTCCCTCTTTAACCCTTGGACGACCACACTATCCCTGTGCTGTACATTTTTCTTGCAGAACGGAGAGGTGGAATGCTCCTTCACGCCGTGTCCAGAGCTGGACTGTCCCCGTGAGGAGTGGTGGCTGAGCCCTGGACAGTGCTGCTTCACCTGCCGGGAGCCTGTGCCCATGACAGGTGAGGGGCTTCCCACCCGACTTCCGGGGGCTGTGCCCAGCACAGGTGTCCACACTGACAGAAGGGAGGCCGGGTGTCACCTGCTAGGACTGTGAGAGGGGGTGTGTGTCTGTAGGATGTTTGTGGGTGAGACGTGTCAGTAAGTTGTGCTTGTATGAGTGGGTGTAGGAGAGTTGTGTCTGGGCATGTAACCGTGTGTGACAGTTTTCGCTGTCAGTTTGCCGACAACTTAACAGCGATACCCTGATGGGGGTAAGCACAATGGAGATACACCACTCCAGGAGAAGATCAGAGAGTCAAACCAGCTCAATTTTATTGGGACTGCACTGCACTTATATAGGAGGACAGGAGGACAGGATAGGGTGGGCTTACAGACGTGGGACATACGGATTGGATACGAGAACCTCAGCCTTGTGTGGACCACTCCCAGCTCAGCAGAGGCGGCAGCCGTCTTCCCAGGTGGTGAGCTTTTTCAAGCTGGTACAGCCAAACACAGGGAAGCTTTCTCTACCCCGTATTACAGGCCATCGGGAGACTTGCACTTTATCCAGAGCTTAGCGATCTGTCCTGGCCAGAGACCCTCCCTTTCTCCCCAATGTTCCCCAACAAGTTGTGTTTGTGAGTGTAATGTGTGTCTGTGTAAGTGCACACTTAGATGAATGTGTTTGAGTGGTTTCTGTAAACACTGAGAATATGCCTCCATCTAAGTCTGTGTGAGTTGTGTCTGAGTGTGGTGTCTGTGTATGTGTAAATTTGTAACTATTTGAATCCTGTCTGAGTGTGGTGTGTGTAAATGCATGTTTGTGTGTGTGCACATGTATGTGCGTGTGTGTGTGCGCATACCAGGTGCATGCATGTTTGAAGGTAACGTTCACTAAACAAAGAGAGTCAGGCAGGCAGCGGCAGGCAGCCCCTGGTCCCGTGGTGGGTGTGTCGGCACCTCAGGAGCCGTGTACACTCTGCACCCTGGGAGTGTTCATTAATGTGTATGTCTCTGGTGACTGGGGTTTCAGGGCCCTCCCGGCTCTCTGTCCCCTCATCCTTCCCTGCTGTCCCCTGGCCAGGCTGCTCCCTCGACGACAATGGGATTGAGTTTCCGGTTGGACAGATCTGGTCGCCTGGTGACCCCTGTGAGTTATGCATCTGCCAGGTGAATGGCAACCTGCACGCCTTCAGCTGCTTTACCTGCTGCCTGCCCGCCTCCCCCTGAGGAGACCCTGGTCCCCCGCTGATGCCCTGGCAGCCCTGTCCCTCCCAAAGCCGGGTACCTTGACTCAGCCTCCGCCTTGCTCCCATCCTAGCAAGTGCCATTTTTTCAGAAAAGGGTCTAGACCCAGCAGAGCCTGGCAGTTCATCTGAGGGATGCTCTGAGGCAAGAGCTGCTGGCCTGAGAGGCTGGTGGGCTTGAGAAGGGTTTCTGGGGCATGTACAGCATAACTGAGGCTGGGCAGTCCGGCAGTCCAGGGAACATTTATGCAGGTCATTTCTTCGTTAACATGAACCGTGGGACTTCACCTCATGGTTAGGTAGGAGGTAGGAGAGCTTTGCATCGCATAGTCAGAAATGCAAGCGCAGCAATTCCACAAGAAACCATTGCTTTGACTTACTGCATCAATGCTCTCTTGTCATGAGCTGTGGAAGTGCTTCTGACTCACAGTGACCCGCACACTTGACAGGAGAACTGCCCCAAGGGATTTTTTTAGGCTGTGGTCGAGTGGCAAGAAGTTGTGCTGCAATCCTGAAAGCACGCTGTTCGAGTCCACCAGCTGCTCTGTGCAAGAAGGCTGGGCAATCTCCTCCAATGCCATTAACTGCTCCTGAAAACCTGCTGGAGGGTCAGCTGTGGTTGGTTCTGACTTGACAGCATACAACAACAACAATCTTTACAGAGAGAGTTCTTAGTACATGTGGTTTTGGGCTACTAATTAAAAGGTTGGTGGTTCGACCACACCAGTAGCTCCTTGGGCAATCTCTCATAAAGATGTACAGCTTCAGAAACCCCATAGGGCGAGCTCTGGTGATCTAGTGGCAAGAAGCTGCACAGCAATCCCAGAGGTGAGCGGTTCGAATCCACCAGATGCTCTGCTGGAGGAGCGGCAATCTCCTCCTGGACCAGTCAGATCCGATTTGATGGCGTGCGCGCGCGCGCACACACACACACACACACACACACACACAAATTAATGATAATAATAAAGAAACACCATAGGGGATCACTGTGAGTTGTGTGTGACACAATGACTGTGCGTTAGTCTTTAGAAGCAGATCTCCAGCTCTTTTTCCTGTAGAGGCTGAGTGGGTTCAAAGTGCCATCCTTCCAGTTAGCCACAGAAACGAACCATTGTGCCACCCCAAACCCACACCAGACTGACAGCACTCAAGTCCATTCTGATTCGTGGTGACCCCCTATCAGGTTCCCAAGGAGAGGAGACTTTCTTTCTTCTACTGAGCAGCTAGTGAATTTGAACTGCTCACCTTTTGGCTGTTAATACAAATTGTAAACAAGTACATGTCAGCAGAGAACTGTCAGCTGTGCAGCTTGGTTTTAGAAGAGGCCGTGGTACTAGGGATATTGTAGCTAATGTTCGATGGATCTTGATTGAAAGCAAGGAATACCAGAGGAATGTATATCTGGGTTTCATTGACTGTGCAAAACCCTTTGACTGGGTGGATCAAAACAAACTGTGGCTGACTCTGAGAAGAATGGGAATCCCAGAACATTTGATTATGCTTATGTGAAACCTATACTTGGACCAGGAGGCAGTCATCAGAACAGAGCAAGGAAACACTGCATGGTTCAAAATCAGGAAGGAGTATGTCAAGAAGGTATCCTATCTTGATACTTTTTCAATCTATATGCAGAAGAGATCATGTGGGAGGGTGTGCTCTGTAAGGAGGAATGTAACATCAGGATTGGAGGAAGACTCATCAGCAACCTGTGTTATGCAGATGACACAACACTGCTTGCTGAAACTGAGGAGAACCTAAGGCATTTACTTCAGAAGGTCAAGGACTGCAGCCTTCAATATGAATTTAAGCTCAACATCAAGAAAAGAAAGATTCCCCTCCACTGGGCTGATTAGCTGCATCATTATAGATGGTGAAGAGAATGAGATTGTTAACAGCTTCAGTTTTCTTGGCTCCACAGTCAACACTCTTGGTACCAGCAGCCAGGGTAAAAAGACTAATTGCACTGGGAATGTTGGCTCTCAGGGACTTCTGCAGAATTCTGAAGAGCAACAGTGTCAGTCTGGAGACTAAGGTACACCTGATTCAGGCCATAGTCTTCACAATTACTTGATAAGCATAAGAAAGCTGGACAATGAATAGGGATGATAGATGAGAATTGATGCCTTTGGGCTGTGGTTCTGGAGAAAAGTATTGAATATACCATAGATTGCTAAGAGAACAAACAGGTTCATCCTAGAGAGGGTTAAACCGGGCTACTCCTTGAAGGCAAGGATTCTGAAGCTTCATCTGACATACTTTGGACATGTTGCAAGGAGGAACCAGTCCCTGGAGAGGGACATCATGCTTGGGAGAGTGGAGGGACAGCACAGGAGAGGGAAACCCTAGATGAGATGGATTGACTCAGTGACTGGGTAAATGGGGATGGGTGTGTTGGAGACAGTGGGGTTGGCATAGGATAGAGCAGGGTTCAGAACTGTTGTACACAGGATCACTGTGAGTCACAAGTGACTCGATGGCACCTAACAACAACAACAACAACAACAACAACAACAACAACAACACACCAACAGGGTTGCTTAATTCCTCATAGAGCTTTGTCTGTTTCTCTGCATTGGGGCCCTGGGCCTTGAACCTGGGAGCTTGTTAGAACTGAAGGATCCCCAGTCCCTGCCCAGATCTAGGACCCAACCTGCATCTTCGTCCCAGGTGGTTTGTGTGCCGTGGGGTGTGGGAAGCTGGCCTTCAGGTACCTGTGAGGCGCTATGGGTTAAAAACCCAAGGCCCTTCCAGACAACACATCAGCCTGGCTCCTTGAGATCAGACACGGGGGGGAAACACTCCCTGATGCCGTGTTCTCCTTTATGGCTGACCTAGGGGCTCCCATTCTAAGACAGCAACTCAAAATATTCAGATTCTTAAACAAAAACATCAAAACCCTACTTTATATGGTACGTTGAAACAGACATTTCTGGTGAGAAAGTTTTCTGGAAAAAGTAGGATTGTCAGCCTGTGCTGTCCCAGGGCTGTCGGGAGAAGCGGAGAGAATTTGGAGAGTGGGGTCAGCCTGTTGGAGCCTTTAGCTGTCACTCAGGGGGGACAGGAAGCTGCAGAGACGGAGTCCCGGCTCCGGCCCCTATGCTGTTGACTCTCCGTAGACACAGGAAGGCTTTCTAGAAGAGTCATACCATGTTGTCCCAGGAGCTGGTCCTCTTTGTGGGGGTATTACCACCTCCTGGTTGTGTCATGTCACCCATCAGGGCAAGCCTTGCCAGTTTGCAGCGTTGGCCCTTATTTTAGGACGCTGGAAGGGGGACGTGGGGCAGAGCAGTGGGGTTGGTGTCACAAGTGGGATCTTGGTGAAGTTCCTCCTCCCTTCAGGCAGATGGCTCGGTGAGCTGCAAGAGGACAGACTGCGTGGACTCCTGCCCTCACCCGATTCGGATCCCTGGACAGTGTTGCCCAGATTGTTCGGCAGGTAACACCCCAACCCCTCATGGCGGGCGTCCAGAGGAACCCCTCTCTGCTGCTATGTAAGCATCATACAGGTGCCATCTCACGGCATCCTCACAGCAACCCAGTGTGACAAACCCATTTTATAGATGAGGAAACTGAGGCTCAGGTGAAGCAGTTCAGTGTTTAAGCAGGTAGAAGGATATGCAGAGGGTCCAGCCTAGGAAGAAAGACAAAAGAATCTGTGAAAAAAAAATTAGTTGTTTATTGCCGTCGAGTCGAGCACGATGCATAGTGACCCTATGAACAAAAGGCTTGAAGCCTTCCTACAACTATCATCCTTTCTCCAAGTTAATAAACTTTCCAGAGGCATGTGGTTTAGGAAGTAGATGTATTGGAAAAAAAAATCAGAGAAAATAAATGTTCTTTTTAGAATGTTTTTAACAAATTGTAATGTTCCCACTTTTTACATATTTTGAAAGTAGCCTATTTTATTGTAGAAAATTTTAAAAAATTAAGAAAGCAAAAAGAAAGGAAATTAGAAAGGACATACTGTGTTTGGTAACTTGTGACTGGGGTATTGGGAGTAGGTGTTTCAGAGACAATAAGATTGGCACAGGATAGAGCAGGGTCGAGGGCTGTTGTACACAGGGTCGCTATGAGTCACAGGCTACTTGACAGCACATAACAATAACAATAACAATCTGTGATTGTGTCACTTCCAATCCTTTTCTCACTGTGATGTGTTTATATAGATTATATTCAACATGTTGGGAGTTCTGGGGCCTAGTGGGTAGAACTGCACGGCTAATCCAACATCAGGCAGCTCGGATCCACCATCTACCCTATGGAAGAAAGATGGACAATCTCCAGTTGTCAGTCTGATTTGTTCAGCGATTTCCAGTCTCTCAAAACTGGCTAGAGGGTCAGCAAGCATGAGTAAGTTCTAGTTCAATGTCAGTGAGTTCAGTTCTGTTGAGTTATACAGCATGAAATAACCCACAGGACAGAGCAGAGCTGCCCCTCAGAGTTTCTAAGGCTGTAATCTTTATGAAAGCCGACAGCCACGTATTTCTCCTATGGCATGGCATGTGGATTTGAACCACTGACCTTTCAGCTAGCAGATGAGCACTTAACCACTGTGCCCTCAGGGCTCCTTCTGGACCTGTCCAGGGCCGTCTGAGTTGATTCTGACTCACAGTGACCCTTGAGGAGTGTAGCTGCCCCATATGGTTTTTAAGGCTGGAAATCTTTGTGGACAGTAGTTTCATCTTTCTTCCATGGAGCAGTTGAGAGATTAGAACAATACCATCAAGGTAGCCGTGAGGTCGGGCCCGGAGCCTTGAGAAGCAGGGAGGGGAGTGATGTGGGAAGATGTAGACAAAGTTGTGTGTGAGGTGGGCCTTGGGCTTTGCGGAGTGGTTCTGAGGGCAGAGACGATGCTGGCAAGATGGTGTGGTGCACACAGTGAGGTCTCCCAAGCCTGAGGCATGATCCCACCTGGAAAGGGTGGAGGAGCAAGTTCCTCGCCTCACTGAACTCATTCCCCTCTCTAAGGAACTCAGAAGGCCAGGAAGAGACATTATCCTCAGGTTCTTGGCAGAATTTGGTGTAAAAATAGCACCCAGTTCAGACTTTGTCTCTTCCCTCACTTGAGGCATCTGCTGTGCGGAGGCCATGGCCTGACCTGCGCTCTCCTGATAAGCCTCAGACCTTTGTCCTGGCTGGAAGGGTGGCGGCTATCACTTCCCTGTCAGGCGCTCACCACGTGCTGTTCTCCATGGCAGGCTGTACCTACACTGGCAGGATCTTCTACAACAATGAGACCTTCCCATCTGTGCTGGACCCCTGCCTGAGCTGCATCTGCTTGGTATGACCACCAGCCCCACCTTGTCTGTGAGCGACCCTGGGAACTGTTACCTATTCCTGAGCCCCAGAGGCCAGATCCTAGGCCTGTCCAGCTCTGGCAGGGCAAACCGTTATCCAGGGCCAGATAACTGTTTTTAACCCTGGCTGGCCACGTCTGCTTGGTGACCAGGGAACATCAGGAAGGGGCTTTTGCATAGCTTGAAGTGCGAGGCCAGGATTATTACTGAGGTTCGAGCGGTAAACACAACCCCACAAGTCTGCTCTTCAACCTCCCTGTCTTTCTAGTAACTTATTCTATATTTTTATTGAGAACAAACATGCAAAACACACACCAATCCAACAGTTTTTACCTGTACAGTGAGTGGGGAGCTGTGGTGGCCTAGTGGTAAGAAGTGTTGCTACAACCCCAAAGGGATGTGGTTCAAATCTAACAGATGCTCTGAGGGAGGAGAGTGGGTCCTCTCCTCCCGATTTACTGCCTCTGAAAACCTGCTGGAGGGTCAGCTGTGGGTTGGTTCTAACTCGAGGGCACAAATCTTTGGGTTGTGTGTGACTATTCTCACCCTCCTTTTCTGAGCTGTTCCCTCCCTCATTGTTGGCTAAACGAATTAGCTCATCTTTCAAGGTGCTCTTTTCAGTTTGAACCAAAGAGACAAGTTTGTGTTTGAAAGAACACAAGGCTTGAGGCCGACTCTGGTCACTAATGAAACAAAATTGTTTATTCCTTGGTTTAAAAGAGACTTTAGGAGGTATTTGTGGTTGACAGTTTAAAGATGATTTCTGGACAATCACTTGGGGAGTTCATTCAGCCTCCAGTGCTCTAGAAAGTCTGGATTCCATGCTTGGTGTCAGCATCTCTTTAAGAGAGTCCTGTTAGTGACCCCTTGTAGCCATCACTGTCCTGTCTTGATGTTCATTAACTCCATCAATCCACGTGAGACTTCTGTGAGGTTGGCACCCCCATCATCTCCTCCTAGATTAGAAAACTCAAGGCAGAGAGACAAAGGAATTTGCTCATGACCCCTTGCCGGTTGCTGTCTGTCAAATCTGATGCATGGCAGCCCCGTGTGGACAGAGTAGAACATCTCAGGCTTTCTGAGGCTTTGGAAAGCACAATGTCAGGCCTTTCTGAGCACATTCAAGCCGTCTGCCTTTTGGTGTGTAGTTGAGCACTTTGCTTCATGCCACGCAGAAACTCCACTCAAGATCCTATAAGGAGTTAGTGGAAGGGGCCAGCCAAACCCTAGTATTCTCTCCCGGGGAGGCTCTGCCTGCCCTCTCAGGCACACTGTCTCTTCAGGGAAAGTTTGCTAGAGAATAATGGGAGCTTTATGGTTTGGAGAAGGGGAAAAAAAAACACAACCAAACCCCAAAACAGCAATAACAAAACAAACCCACCAAAAAACGAATTCTTATCGCTGGGAATTTGGAGAAGCTGCTTTTCTCCCTCTCTCTCTCTCTCTCTGTGTGTGGGGGGGTGGGGGTGGGGTGGGTGCAGGCGAAGAGGGAACCCCTCATGCTGCCATGACCTCGTTCAGTGAGTGTGTGTGGACATGAAACAGGACAAGGTCTATAAAGAGGTTGAGAAACACAAGGTCAGCCTCCCCCTGGCCTCTGAGCACCCCCTGTCTGAGCTCCCTGCTCACTGATGACCAAACTCCAGGAGCTTCAGCTTCTGGGTCCTTCTTTCTCCCACTTCTGTTGCACACTTTTCCTGGGCAGAGGGCGGTCTGTTGGCAGGTGAGCTCCACGGCCAGCAGCTTGTAGGGGGACCGGAGGCCAGCCCCTAGGTTTTATGGAGCTTGCATCCTATCAAGAAGACAGACTCTATCAGGAGAAACCCCCCCAATCTGTGCATGTCCCCCTAACAAGGGCTGCTCAGATGGGAACTCGATGTCTTTCTGGGTGCCTGGAGCAACAGGCTGTGTGTTTCTGTGTCCTGCAGCTGGGCTCTGTGGCCTGTTCGCCCGTGGACTGTCCCATCACCTGCACCTACCCTTTCCACCCGGACGGAGAATGCTGCCCGGTCTGCAGAGGTGAGTGGGACCAGCCATGCCAGGCCCGAGGCTCCCGGGTGGACGAGCGCTCATCAGCCTTGTCTCCTCTGTCCCCCTCCCCCACCAGATTGCAACTATGAGGGAAGGAAGGTGGCGAATGGCCAGGTGTTCACCTTAGATGATGAGCCCTGCACGCGCTGCACCTGCCAGGTAAGCTGGCCTGGGGGGGTGGCCCCTTCTTGCCTTTTTAAAAAGATTTTCTTTTTATTCATTCACTGTTGCACGTTTTCTTCTCTTCCCTTCCCTCCCGCTTCCTTTAGTCCCCTTTCAATGACCTCCTGCTCCAGATTGTTCTCCTTCATGTAATACCCAATCACATACTCCTCTCAAACTGTTCTTCCTCTCATCTGTTCCAATACAGTGTTCATTATTTATCCACATTTTCCCTGTTCTCCCTTTAGCCCCTGCAAGGCAGTCCTGCTTTTTTTTTTTTAAAAAAACTGTTATTTTGTGTGTGTGTGTGTCAAGTCGGATCTGACTGGTACAGGAGGAGATTGCCCCACCTTCAGCAAAGCATCTGGTGGATTCAAACTGCATACCTCTGGGATTGCAGCCTAGCTTCTTGCTACTAGGCCACCAGAGCTCCCTGGCAGTCCAGTTTTATAACAACAGTGTTATGCAGTATTTGTCCTTGTGTGACTGAGATATTTCACTCAGCATAATGTCCTCCAGGCTCCCCCATGTTGTATAATGTTTTACAAGTTCATTGTCTTTCAGTTCTGCATACTATTCCATTTTGTAGTGTACCATAGTTTTTCTATCCATTCAGTTGTTGATAGACACTTGGGTTGCGTCCATCTCTTTGCTATTGTGAATAATGCTGCAATAAACATGGGTGTGCATACATCTGTTTGAGTCGTGGCTCTGGTTTCTTTAGGGTATATTCCCAGTAGTGGAATTGCAGAGTCAAATGATATTTCTATTTCCAACTTTTTGAGAAAGTGCCTTACTGCCTTCCAGAGTGGTTGCACCATTTTGCGATTGGGTTGTTTACCTTTTTCTTGTTGAGGTGCTAGAGTAGTCTATAAATTGGAGACATGAGCCCCTTATCAGATAAGTCATTTCCAAATAATTTTCCCCCAGTCTGTGGGTTTCCTTTTTACCCTGTTGGGGTAGTTTTTTGATGTGCGTAGGGATTTGATTCTTAGAAAGTCCCATCCTTTATTTCATTCTCTCCTGGTGGTAGGTCCCCTTCTTGCCTTTTGTCCTTTGAAGAAACGTCACTGTCGTTAGGTACCGTGGAGTTGGCACTAACTCACTGTGACCCTGTGTGTGTAACCGGATGAAGCCCTGCCTGGGCCTCAGCCACCCTTGCCATCCTGGTTATGTTTACCAAAGCCCATAGCTGCAGTCACTGTCAGTCCATCTTGTTGAAACTCTTCCTCCTCTTTGCTGACCCCCCACTTCACCAAAGAGCCCCTTTGATAAAGACAGCTGTCATCTCGTCGTCTCACTGAGGATGATCCCACGTGTGTCCGTGTAGAACAGGGACTGGATGCTCAGAAGTAGATCACCACCAGACCTTTCTCCCGAGGCACCTCTGGGTGGATTTGACCCACCACCCAACCTTTCACAGCCACGCATACTAACGTGAGCCCGTACTCTTCCACTCGTGCTTTACCTTAAGTAACCGGCTGGAAGCTCTTTGATTCTGACAATATTCCCCCTTTTTCTGGAAGTCCAGGTATAGACTGATGGTTTCCTCTGAGTGGCGTTGATGCCTCTCTCCAGCTTCTCTTTGGTTCAGGCATGGGATCTGCCTGGGATGTTGCTCCTGGTCTGAGCCCGTGGGATGCTCTGGGCGTCCTCGCATACAAGCTTCTGTGTGTCCTTCTGTTTCTTCAGCTGGGAGAAGTAAGCTGTGAGACAATCCCCTGCCATCAGGACTGCCCAGATGTCCCCATGCTACCTGGAGACTGCTGCGCCTCCTGCCCAGGTACATGACATCTTCTGCTGTCTTCTTCCTGAAAACAGAGCTTGTCCAGGGCTGGGTGTGGGAAAACCAGGCTCAGGATGGGCAAGGATACAACTCAGGATTGCACAGCAAACACTCACAGCATCCCGGAGTCCGCCAGAACAAACCCCGCTCGATCCCATGTCACCCTCAGTCTCTGCTGTGCTGTGCTCCACACTGCAGCGGTGATGTCAGTCCATAGGGATGGAGGTCCTCCTCTTTCTTGCTGACCGTCTACTTTACCAAAGAGCCACTCCTGTTTGATCCTAGAGCAGCCCTGTGTAGCAATTAGTTTCATGCCCATTTTACAGATGAGGGAACAGAGGCCCGTAGGAGTTAGGTGACCTGCTCCAGGTCACGGGGTGGCTGACCAGCAGGCTTTCCTTTGTTCTTGGCTCCTCCCTGTCCTGTGCTCACGGGGATACTGAGAGCCCAGGGGACGGAGCTGGTGCATCTCCTCTGAGATCAAGGGCCATGTGCGCTCTTCTCCCCTCGCTTCTCTCCACTTTCCAGAGTCCCTGCTCCCTCCGGAGGAAAGACAGAGCCTTCCCGCTCACAGAGATGTGGAGCTCAGCAAAGCTGCCCGCAGCTCCCCAGAAGATACGGCTCCCCCACTGCAGCCTGTCAACTGCAGCACCTGCCCAGGACCCCCAACAGTGTCACCCCGCAGGCCAGCGATCCCCCTCTTCCAGCTCCTCCTGAGGACGAACTTGTCTGAGATGCGGACTCCACCCCCAGGCCGCTCAGCACCCCAGGCCTCATCCTCAGCCTTGTCAGGGCCAGTGGGTACATTCTCAGGGGAGTCCCCTCATCCCTTCTCAGCACCCTCCATCCCACCAGGATCCTCCAGTCTACCTTCAGCCACCCTGGGGGTTCCTTGGCCACCCTCGGTTACTCCTGCCCCGGCCTTCTCAGCCTCCGAGTCCTGGACAACCCCCAGCTGGCCTCCTGTGCCTGCCACCACTCTGGCTGAAGCATCAGCACTGCCCACGACCACCCCTAGCGCCTCGGAGACTCCTGGGACTTCCCTCAGGCCAAGCAGACTCTTTCCTACCACCTCCAGACTCTCTGCAGCCCTGGTGGCCAGTGCTGAGCCCACCCCCCAGACGCCCACGACCCCCACGGAGGAGGAGTCCACTGGATAAGCAGGTCTGGACTTCTAGAAGATGCTGGACAGAAAGCTCTGCTGTCACCTGGTGGACTAGGGTGGCCCCGGCTGATGAGGCCCCAGCGCACCCCTGTAGGGTTCTTGTGGGGGCAAGGAGCCCACCAGGCCAGACACACCTGCTCCCAAGAAGCCCTGTGAGCGTGGTACATGAACTGAGCAGACAGTCTTCTCTACGGTCAGTACCCTTCTTGGACCATGGTTGGCGTGACTTTTGAAGAGTAACTAGGGGTCACCAAGTTCTCTGTTGCTTCTGCAGGAGAGTCACATGTGGGTGGGGGTTCCCCAGCAACTCTACCATCTCCTGTCCTGCATCTTTACCTGAGGTCCTGATTAAAGGGTGTCCCCATTTCTTCCAGGTGGCCCTGCTTGTTCAGTTCTTCCTCTGGGAAAGTGGGAAAATTGTGCCTTAAGTCCACAGGTGTGGGGATTGAGAAATGCTAGATTCTGCCTTGTTGTTGCTTTTGTTGTTGTTAGGTGCCGTTGAGTTGCTTGCGACTCATAGCGACCCTATGTACAACAGCCCTAAACCCTGCTCTATCCCTTGCCAATCTTATTGTGTCCAACACGCCTATCCCCATTAGCCCAGTGATGGAGTCAATCAATCTCATTAAGGGTCTTCCCCTCCTGCGCCATCCCTCCACCCTCCCAAGCTTGACGTCCCTCTCCAAGGACTGGTCCTTCCTCACAACATGCCCAAAGTATGTCAGGTGAAGCTTCAGAATCCTTGCCTCCAAGGAGCATTCCGGCTTCACCCTCTCCAGGACGAACCTGTTTGTTCTCCTAGCAGTCCACAGTATATTCAATTCTCTTCTCCAAAACCACATCTCAAAGATTCTGCCTTAACATTTTTTTAAAAACCAAATCAATTCATCATCATCAGGTTGGAACCTGCTCATAACTGACACTCCAGCAGGCTTTCAGCTGCTGTGAACTGCATGGGGGAAGAAGGCCCACTTTTCTCCCAAAGAGCAGCTGGTGGTTTGAACCACCTGGATTTGAGCTGGCAGCCTGACTCCCTACCCACTAGGCCAGCTCAGAGATCTCAAAGTTTAGGGTGCGGTGCTGGCAGTTAGCAGGAACTGGATTGCCACTTCCTTGCATTTTGGGCTGGACAAGTTCAGATGCCATCTTAAAAAAACTCAGATGATCTTTTTCTCCAATCTTTTAGATTGTCTAAGCACCTATTTTAGGAAGTTTCTTCAACATCGCCACTACTGTTCTGTGCTGCTGAGTCAGAATTTACTCATAGCTGACCCTCTAGCGGGTTTGCTCAGACCTGAAATCGTCTTGGAGGAAAGTGACCATCTTTCTCTCTTGGAGTAGCTGCTGTATTTGAACCACTGCCTTTGGGTTGGCAGTTCCCACCCTTTAGGAAACCAGAGCTCTTCATATCGCCACTAGACATCAGAATGTGAAAGCAGTCAGCTGTTTCTGTTAGGCCTAGAATTCGGCCAGAGTCATTACCCAGTTTCCCCAAATTGGGAAACCTATAAATAAAAAAAAGGGAGATTGCAACAGGAAAGAAAGCAGTAAGAGACTAATTAATATCCCTTTACTAATGTTTTTAAATTACTATCTTGTGTTTGTGTACCATCAAGTTGGATCTGACTGGTCCAGGAGGAGATTGCCCCTCCTTCTCCAGCAGAGCATCTGGTGGATTAGAATCGCTCACCTCTGGGATTGCAGTGCAGCTTCTTGCCACTAGGCCACCAGAGCCCCCTTCTTTACTAATATTTTTAAAGGGTGAAGTGTCCTTTTTGGTATAGAAGGACAATTGAAGGGACCTTCCTCCTCAGGTTGGAGCCCTTTATCCTCTTCGCCTGGAAGGACAGTGTTGAGGCAGACCTCCTTAGCTGGTTAAAACCCTTTGGTGATGGTTGCCTCCCCACTTGGTAATCTATAGCTGAGGCTCTCCCTTTTTCAAGAACTTAGTAGTAAGACCCTCTGACCTTTTATCAAAGTAAAGATGAAGGAAAATGTAACTCCTTTAAACTTGAACTCCGTATCCATACACTAAATACTGTAAAGATACGTTCAACAAGAAGTCTTACCATGACCATTTCCTAATGGTTAGTCTTACCTAACAATTTCCTTCTTTTCCTGGATGTCCTTCCCAATTCCTTCTGTGCTCAGATGAACAGATCTTTTTTTTTTCTTTCTAACCCAAAGACAGCACAGTAAAGACCCTCTGCTGTACACCTGGCTTCCCCCCTCCTTTAACAGCCTATTTCCAAGATCATTCTGTCTCAGTACCTACAGAGCAGACTCATTAAAAAAAAATCTTCTTTTAACAGCAGCGCAGCGGCTCCCTGTACTGTGAGCTATTTCACTGTCTCCTTTGGATGGACACTTGGGCCATTTCAGATCTTGCAATTGCAGACTGTGCTGCAAAGAACAATCTCATACTGACATCATTTTGCACCTGTGCAAGTTTCTCTAGAAGTTAAATTCCCAGGAGTGACATTCCTGGGCCAAAAGGTGTATGCGTTTCTAGTTTTCACAGATAACTGCCAAGTCATCTCCTTCGAGGTTAGACTGTCTTTTCTTCCCACCAGCTATGTGTGAGGATACTTGTCTGGGGAGGGTTCGGGTTTCATAGATGAGTGGAGCAGAGACAGAGAAGCTGAGCACACCACTCGTGGAACAAGTGGGAATGAAGGGGACAGCTTGTCCTGGGCGTGGCCCCGGCGGAAATGGAGAGAGGTGTGTGAAGAAGAGGCCGAGACTGTCCAAGAAGGATGGATGTGTCTCACGTTTTGGAGGGAAGTGAGCTCACAGTCATGTCAGCACAGGCTTGTCGAGTCTGAATGATCGGTCAGATGGGGTGTCTCTCTAGATCCTCCTTGGATCCCCGAGTCCCAGGTTGTGGGACCGGAAGAGGGGCTGGGAGAGGCTGGGCTGCAGCTGCTGGGGAGTGTGGAGGGGTTGGAGGAAATCGGATGAGGCCAGAAGTGGAGGAAGGAGAAGATCCCCAGAGCCCAGTATACTGTCGAGCTCACAGAAGGTGCTTGGGAAGTGTCCGCCAGACAGATGTCAGCCAGAGTGTTGGCAGCTGAGGAGCCAGGACTCTGACAGCCTTCCTGGAAGCCTGAGAAAGCCACCTGCTTGTCCCACAACCATCAGATAGAGATACAGTGTCTGTGGGGATGGGAGCTGGTCTGTGTTATGTCAGGCACACCTTAATCAAATCATACACAGGCAGACACTGCAGGTTGGGATCGAGGCCACTGCAATAAAGCAAATGCTGAACTAAAGCAAATCACATGAGTTATTGTTGGTTTGCCTCATAACCTCGTTGCTGGGAACCAGAGCCGACTGACAGCTGGCCCTCCAGTGGGATTCTAGGTTGTCAATTGCACAGGAGGAAATAGTGCATCTTTCCTTGTTGGAATTGGAGCTTCTGGTGGATGTGAACCATCAGAGAAGTACAGCCTTCGAGTTAGTAGTGCCACAGTGACGTTTCCACCCTCCTGTGCTTGTTTGTGAAGTGTGCCGTGCTGTTGTTAGATGGTAGGTAATCGAGTATGACTCTCAGCCACCCTGTGAACCACAGAGCTGAACCCGGTCCTGTCCTGTGCCATCCTCATCGTCTCTGACATAGGAGCCCATTGCGGCAGCCACGGTGTGAATCCATCTGGCTGAGGGTCTTCTCTTGGACAGACCCTCCACCTTTCCAAGCATGATGTCCCTTTCCAAGGAATAGCCTCTCCTAGCCACGTGCCCAAAGTAGTGCGATGAACCTTTGTCGTCCTGGCCTCTAAGGAGCACTCCGGTTGTGCTTTTCCTAAGACATACCCGTTTGTTCTTTTGGCAGAACATGGGGTATTCAGTACTCGCTTTATTAAGTGTTCAATAGCGTGATGAAAAAGTTTGTAATATTACGAGAGTTACCAGAACGTGACAGAGACAGGCTCCTGGGGAAATGGCACCAATAGAATGATAGATTGACACGAACCTTCACATTTTCGAGACACTTGAGCACACTGTGATAAGGTATGCCTGTACAATGCCTCCTGCTGCCTTGTTTCCTATTATAAAGTAATCTCTTAGTCAACAACCATTTACCGAGCACCTGCACGTGTGAGGCCCTGTTCTTGCTGCGGGGGCCTCAACAGTAAGTAAATGATCATCAGCTGGCCCCTGTGGCTTCTCATCTCTCTAATCATGCAGACACACAGGGAGTAGACATGTGCGTCCACGTGTAATTACAGAATGTGCCGAGAGCCGTGGAGGTGGCAGAGGGCCAGACCCTGTAGGAGAATGGTTAGGGGAGGCTTCTAGAACAGTGACATTCAAGCTGGGTTCTAAAGGATGGAAGACACGGATGAGGCCAAGAAAAGAGAAAGAGGAAGGGAACAGTGTGTGAAAATGCTGGGAAGAAAGAAGAAAACAATTTGCTGGTGGAAGCAGGGCAATAGGGCAGAATTCAGGTTAAGGGGGATCAACGTGAGGTCGAAGATACGTAAGGACCAGAGCACGCAGGACTGGAAGCCACACTAATGATTTGTTGTTTTATTTAAAAATGCAATCGGAAGACAATAGTGAAAGGTCTTAAATAAAGGGGTTAGCACCACCACAGGTCCCTGTGTATTCCTACTTATTTTACAACATTCATCATAATACCCATATTGTAACCTCACATTTCCCATTTCCTCCTTGTGACCCTCATGTCCATTAATCCTTCTGTGCTACCCATTCCTGACCGCAGGGTTTTATTCTTGGGGAAAATGCTACTCTTTTGACTGAAGATTCTCAGGAGAGAATAACTCCCTATTGTTGATGGTCCTCTGTCTATTTGTCTGAAAGTTGATCTTTGGGAGTGACTTTTATTCCAGGCTTGTAGAGTATCTAAGTTACAGTTTCAGAGGTTTCAGTAGTCTCTATTGAACTAGTAATCCTGGCTTTTTACATTTATGTCTTTGAATTTTGTTCCGCATTTTTGCCCACTTTGTCCAGGCGGTTTTACTGTGATCCCTGTTAGCACGGTTGTTGACGTTAACAAGCCACCATCCGGCTTCTTGGGGTTCTTGTGGGATGCTTTCTAATTTGAGGAGTTCATCTTCCAGCACTTTATTAGACAGTGTTATCTCGTGAGCTATCAGGTTTTAATTGGCTAATTAGATAATTTTGTAGTGATTTGCATGAAAGTTTACAGAGTAGATTAGTTTAAAAATTTGATTTCGTGACCGTGATTCCAATCCCCACATTGTAGCCATGCTTCCTGTTTCTTTCCTGTGGTTCCTGTGTCCACTTGTCCCTTCTGTCCTCTTCCTTCTTACCTTCTGGGCGTCATCCCAGGGCAAAAATGCTGCCCTTTTCATCTTGTATGTTGACTTTTCTAAGGACGGAGGGCTTTTCTGGCATTCGCCTTATAGAGAGGTCTGTGGTTTCTCTGAAACTTGTGCCATGAGTGTGAGTTCATGTCAAGACTCAAAGGATAACTAAAGGCTATAGTCTCAGGGGCTCCACCAGTCTGTGCGAGGCTGGTAAGCCTGGCCATTTTGATGGTTTTGAGTTTTGTTCTTATTTAATCACCTGTTCTCCCCAGGACCCTCTACTAGGAAGGAGCCTTTCAGAGCGATTAGTGGTGGTGGGGCACCATCTAGCTCTTCTGATCTCAGAGTCTTGGGGATCGAGGTTACCAAGGCCTAGACATTTTATGGGACGCTCTAGTAGTGTAGCCCATGGAGTTCCACTGCTAACCTCCAAACCCCACCTCTCTGGTGGTTCAAAGCCACCAGCAGCTCCTCCGGACCAAGATGGGCTGTCTCTTTCCATGCCGTCTACAGCCTCAGGAACCGCCTGAAGGGTCACCTACAAGTTCTGACTTGAATGCAATGAGCTTTGAGTTTTTGAGTTCTATGGTCTCACTGTTTCCACGTATCTTTGATTTTCTTCACTTTTCTTTGCTCTGGACAGGAAGAGACCAATGGTTGCACCTTAGATGACCATGACAAGCTTTTAAGTTCTTAGTTACTGTTCGTCAAAGCAGAGTGATCTAGCCCTTGGTCTCTGTGGGCTGTATTATGCCAGTTGACCTTGATGTCCCCTACTATGACCCCAAAGCCACATGACCAGGGACACACACATTCTCTCCCGGTGTCTAGCTATGGTTAAGAAGTTGAGGTGTGGCTTCCAACTTGACAAAGAAGAGGAGAAACAAAGGTCGTGCCAAAAAGGGCCTCGGCCATGTGCAGCTTTTTCGCTGCACTAACTAGGCCCACTGCATGCCCAAAGACAATGCAATTAAGAAGCTCGTAATTGGAAATAGAGTAGAGGCAGCTGCATTTCCATCAGGGACCTTTCTAAAGCAAGTGTCTTCGACATATGTCCTTCCAAAGTTCTTTGTGGAACTGCACTCCTGTGTGAGCTGTGCCATTCACAGCAAGGGGTGAGGAACCGTTCTCATGAAGCCCGGAAGGACCGGATACCTCCACCTAGATTTGGACCTGCAGGTGCTGCCCCACGACCACCACCAGAGCCCATGGAAGATCTGATCCCTTAAAGGCTGAAGAAAAAACTCATCTGAAAAGAAAATGGAAATGATACTTAAAAAAATAAAAAGGAAGAAGAAGAAACTGAGATGTCTTTGCCTCATTAACTGATTTTCAGAAGCTCAGGCTTTTCTTCCTAGTCTGTCTTAGTCTGGAAGCCCCACTGAAACCTGTCCACCATGGAGTACCCTACTGGCATTTGAAATGCTGATGATGTAACTTCCAGCATCATAGCAACTCTCAGGCCAGCACAGTAATGACTCACTGGTGGGCAGGTGGTGACACTGGAGGCTCAACTATTGACCCATGAGTGAAGCACAAAGAGCAGTCTGATCGATGATGGGGTCTTAGATTCTGTTACTGCTCTCACTCATGTCTTAGGGCCAGTACTTCCTTGTCCTGTCTACGTGGGAATGTCCCCATCATCTCTCAGATTTGGAGGAAATGCTAAGTTGACCACTTCCCAAGAAATAGCCTGAGTGCTCTGTTCTACAGAATACAGTTGTTGTTGTTGTGTACCACTGAGTTGGAACTGACCCATAGTTGACCTTCCAGTGGGTTTTTAGAGGCAGTATAAGTTGCCTGGGAGGAGATTGCCCATCTCTGTCCTGTGAAGCAGCTGGTGGATTCGAACCACCTACCTTTGTGCTTGCAATACAAAGCCGTTTCAGCCCCTATTCTGAGCCCCACATATCTTCTTGGCTTCCATAGGAGTTGTCTACTGCCTGGGTCACTGTGTAGGGTGCCGTCCAGGCAGATGTGGTCATTTCTGCCCCCCCCCCAATGCTCTGACTCCAATGATGCAAATTAGAAACACCAACCAAAAAGGAACACTATAACACAATTTTTCAGTCAGATGTATTTTTATTCTACATTATTGCCGTGGTAGGGAACGGGGGGCCAAGGAGCCACCTCCACAATCCCAGAGGAAGACCACGAGGAGAATTTATGTACATCTAAGTGGGCAGAGGGTGGAGGGAGGACCTTCCTGGGAGGTGGCCCGGGGGGACACACTCAGGCTCAAGCCACGGGGGCCAGGCCGACCGCGTTGTTGGCCCTGTCGAAGACGGCGAAGTACTGGCGGATGAAGACGTCACCCAGGATCCAGAGTTCGCCGGACTCGGTGGGGATGTTCATGCCCTGGAAGCCGCTGACGCAGCCCTGCTGGTTCTGGAGAAAGAAAGACGAAAGTGGAGATAGGCTGCAGGCCCAGGACAGGCGCCTGGGAGGAGAGGCATGTGCAGGGAGAGGCCTCCAGACCCCGTGTCCCGGGACTCTGCTGGCCTTGGCTTGGGGTCGGCCTGAGTAAGTTGTTGGCTCTCCGGGATTACTGGACATCATCCGGCATTGCTGGCAGACACACGGGCCCTGACATCAGCATCGGAGCTGAGGGACTTAGGGAGCCTCTCAGCTGCTGGGGAGGGGTGTTTGGAAAGTCCTGTGAACAGCCTCTTCTGATTAGCCAGCGCCCATTCAATGGCAAGCCAGGCCAGCTGTGATCCTGGGGGTTCACTAGGTCACAGGGCCCCAGCTTTGGCTGCATGTGAAGATCACCTGGGGGTGGGGCTCTCAAAAGCCCCATTGTTCAGGCCTCGCCCCTATTCATTGAATCAGACTCTGGAGGGAGGGCCCTGGGCATAAACTGTTGTTGTTAGATGGCCATTGAGTCAAGTACGTCTTATAGTGACCCTATGAACAAAAGATCTGTATCCTGTTCTATCCTGCTATGTCCTGATATGTCAGTTTGCGAGAAGGTACCATGTGCTTTGTGCCCTAATATGGTAAATTCTGGAGAATGTACCGTGTGCTCTTGAGGAGAAAGTGGAAGATGGACATCAATGAGCCGACAGGAAGTGCTAGGTGTTCCTGTGGTGCATTTGTCTAAAGCTGTGTTCCCAGCTGGTACAGGAGGGTCACGTGCACAGCTACTAAGTGAGAGGTTGGAGGTTTGTGTCCACTCTGAGGCACCTTGGAAGAAAGGCCTGGAGATCTATGTCCTGAAGACCAGATCCCGGAAGCCCAGGGTGTACCATTCTCCTCTGTCACACTCAGAGTTGACGTGGGTGGGAGTGGACGCGGGGCAGCTGGAGGAAGAGTGAGCAGGAGGGTCTTCTAGTGCTCTTGTGCGTCGCTGCCAACTGAGAGAGGTCGGTGGTTGAAAGTCACCAGCTGCTCCGATGGAGAAGGACGCAAACATCTGCTTCTAGAAAGACTGACAGCCTTGGAAGCCTGCGAGGCAGTTCGCTTCTGTGCTGGGGGGTCACTATGAGCCGAGCTCAGCTCAAGCGCAGTGGGCTTGGCTTGATTTCAGAGCAGCGTCTTCAGTTCACCTCCGTGGAAGTGGAGATTTCCGTGGGTCTCCTCTTTCTGAGGTCAGTGGTGGTGGTGTTCCTTCCCCCCTACTATTTCATAGATGTGATGGGTCCAATCTCACTAAATTAACCCCAATCCTCTGAGGGTGGGGGACATTGGCATTTCTAGTTTGGAGACAACTGAGATTCAGAGGGGATGCAGGGAACGTGCTCAGAATCAGTGGGTGTGAAATGAGACCTAGGGCCTGGCCCGTGCGTGTTGCTCAAAACCACCTTTTCACACCTTTGCCCCTTTTCCTTGGAGAGTTGTGTCCGGATTCCTGTCTCTGGTCTTTCTTTTTTGTGAGTTCTTTTTCTATAGAGGCTGCCCAGAGCAGACCTAAGAATGTGCCTGCCTGGGCTTGAGCTGGTGGAAACACACTTTTCCTTGTGCAGAAGCTGGGTGTGCGGCTGCACTCCGAGAGGATACAGTGAGGACCGAGCCCCCTTACCTGAAGGATGTAGGCGCTGGCGGGCAGAGGATACTGGATTCCATTGATGGTGAAGACGATGTCGGGAAGGCTGTTGATGGCGGAGCAGCTGATCGCCATCTGGAAAGAGCGAGGGGTGGGAGGTTAGGGTGCCTTCCTTCTTGCATGGTGGGCCCACCACTTGGAGGAACAAGAAGAAAGTCGTGACTGGACTTACCTGGCCGTTAGAGTTCTCACTGGCTCCGATGTAGCTCTGGATGTAGGCAATGGCGTTGGTTGGGCCAGACAGCAGAGAGGTACCGGTGTCAACGATGGCCTGGCAGCTGCCGCTGCAAGCAATGGGCTGTCCGTTCATGGTGATGCTGAGGGAGAGATGCAATGGAGGCGTGTGAGATGTAGCCCAGGAGGACCCCGAGGAGCAATTAGGTGACCCCAAAGGGTCTTTGCTTCCCATCTAAAAAGTCCTCCCCGGTGTGTGCAATTCCACAGGTTCTCTCATTCACACACTCACCCAATCACTTATTTAAGAATTATGTGTCGAGTGCTTGCTGTGTGCTAGGCATGAGTGGTGCAAAGATAAACAAGACAGAGTCACAACGTTTCTGCCTTCAGGGAGCTCCCTGACTAGCTGCAAAGACAAAAGGCAAGGGCGAGGTCTCGACCAAGGTAGGAAGAACCTGGGGAAGCTACTCAGAGAAGCCGGGACCCAGCGGTTGCCTAGGAGATGAGAGGCGAGGAGCTGGAGGAGAGCATCACAGCAGAGGAGCTGGCGTGCAGGAGCGGTGGAGACAGGAGGAGCGGGGATGGGGCTGGAGGACCTGATGGCGCGTCAGCCTGAGTGACATAGAGGCAGAGTGGTCACCTTGCCCCATTTTGCTGAGGACCATTCTGATTTAATACTAAGAGCCTCGATCTCGAGAAACAGCCCAGAACTAGGTCAATTCAGATAACGGGTTCCTCTTGTATCCACTTGGGGCTAAGAACCACTGGGGAATGGAACTGGATGGGCGCCGGATCCTGGACATGGAGGAGAGGACTGGGAACGTGACCCGAAACAACCTCTCAACCATGTTCCCTTCGCTCTAGGCTGAAAGTGACACATTTCCTGGATGTCACGGAATATGTGTTGCCTCATAAGTCCTCTGTCCATGAGATGTGTGGACAGGCTGGATCCTCCAGCTCCCTGAGGAATGGTAGATGGCAGGGGGTCTGCTTCATCCCAGAGAGCCTCCACCTTCCAGCAGAGAGAGAGAGAGCACGCTAGATTTCTTCTAGAAACCACCTTCCACCTTTCTGTCTCTAGAGTGCTGGCTGTTGCAGGGAAACGCTGCAAAGCAAGGTGACCTGAGTCCATCAAGATGCAGGCCTGGCCATGGCCATCTCACCTGTCCACGGTGATCTGCCAGTAGCCCTCAGAGGAAAGGGGCACCCAGTTCAGGCTTCCGGTGTAGTAAGAAGAATCGATGCCACCAAACATCACCACGCTGCCACTCTGGTCGTCGCTGTGGAGAAGGAGAGAAGTCAGGAATTCATTCCTCCATACATGTATACAATCACTAAACTCCAGACGTGTGCATCCTAAAAGCTGCTGTTTATTGAGCCTCACTTAAGAGCTGTGCTCAATGCTCAGGAAATATAGCTTCAGTTTCTTTCAACCCTTATCTAAGGCCAATGCAATTGTTGTTGTTGTTGTTCCTTAGCTCCACTTTATGGAGATCAGGAAATAGCACCACAGATGCGATAGAGGCTCCGAGAGGTGAGGAGGCGGTTTGCCCAGGCTCACACAGCTGGCGAGTGGCAGAAGCAAGATTAGAACCCAGCTCCTCACGGTGCTGAGACAGAGAAGTATGATCTAGCCGGGGAGGTAAGGTGTCTTGCATTTACATATATAAAAAAGATCTTCATTGCTATCAAGTCAGAACCAACTCATAGCTGACCCTCTAGTGGGTTTTCAGAAGCTGTAAATCAGTTGGGAGGAGATTGCCCACTTTTCTTCCAAGGGACAGCTGGTGGATTTGAACCGCTTGCATTTGGGTTGATAGCACAGTGCCTACCCCGAGGCCACCAGAGCCCCTTGCGCTTCTTAGTGCACCATGTGTTGCGCTATAATGGAAATGTTGGCAGTTTGAAGCCATCTATTTTTCGGGAGAAAGATAGATAGACTGTTCTCTTCCATAAGGATTTACAACCTGGAAAACAGAAGGAGGGTCAGCAGGAGTCAAAGCTGACTCCATGGCAGTGGGTTTGGTTTTGGCTGGGTTTGGGTGATGCTAAAGTGGTTAGTGTGCTCAACTTCTAACCAAAAGGTTGGAGGTTTGCGTCCACCCAGAGACGCCTTGGAAGAAAAACAGCTAAGGATGTGTGAGTCGTCATGGTGACAGATGCAGGCGTCTCTGGTTCATTTTGTGGTGGGCTTGGCAGACACAATAAAACCTAAAGAAGACAGCTTGTCAGAGAAGGACTTGGCAGCGTTAACTTTTCTGACCCCTTGGTCCCAAGACCCTCTCCAGTTTGCCTAGCCTCAGACCCCCTCTGCCAGCCAGGAGACCAGGGCCTCTCGGGAGGGCATTTCACACCCAACTTACGAGCTCAGGTAGACGGAGAAGAGGTCCTGGGAGACAAGGCCCTGGTTCCACATGTTGTCGAAGACGGGTGTGGCTCCGGAGGCAGCAATGCTGGGGTAGGCCAGGCCCAGGATGCCGTCGAAGGGAGAGTAGTACAGGAAGGAGCCGGGCTCGGTCTCGCTCAGGCCGAAGATCTGGTTGGTGTCAGCGATGCCGCCAACCTGGGAAGGGAACCAGTATGTTCACGGTCAGCTTGTGTTCACGGAGCGCTGTAGGTGCCAGCCGTGGGCACAGGGCAGCCCTCGCTCATTTTGTTTTGAGTGTGGCTTCCAAGCACGTCTGCCTAGACTCTTTCCATGTCTCCTGGGGGCTAGCAGGAGGGACAGGGATGTTCCTGGAATGGACACTTGGTGCTACACAGAGCTGGCCCTCACAGCTGGCCTCCAGATGGCCATAGCCCGAAGCTGGGAGTGAGGCTTCCCTGCAGAGCACATGGGCCCTGGGGGTTTGTGTCTCTGATGAGCAGATGTAGAGCAGACCCCGGGCCAGTCTGAGCCTTCCGCCCTCAATGTACCCTGGCAGTGAGGCGGGGTGAGGTTGCGGATGCCTAGTGCAGCTTTGGTGACTCAGGGAGGCTGTGAGTGGGGAGGGGGCACGAGGAAGAGAGAGAGAGGTACCAACAGAGAATGGAGAGCAATAACACCAGGGAAGCACTCATGCCCCAAAATCCCAAAGAGCAGTATGAGCCATAGGATAAAGGTCAGAAGACAAGAAGGGATAGAGAAGGAGTAATGGAAGTGAGAATTATAGGGAGGGAGTAGGAAGGATGGTGCAATTACACTGTGGGTGTTAAAACTCATGTTATTAAAAAAAGGTATTAATGATGGAACAAAAGCTCAGTATGCTTTGTAAACTTTCACTGAAACCACAATAAAAATAATAATAAAAGAGAAAAGAATGAAGCCTTCACTTACTTTCTGTTCACAACCAACCCCAGAGCATCTGTTTTGGATGGCTCTGAGGCTGGATCATGGCTCCAGGCCTGATGCCTCCTCACTCCCTGCTGCTGTTGTTGTGTGTTGTATACCATAGAGTCGGAACTGACCCACAGCTGACCCTCCAGCGGGTTTTCAGAGCCAGTTAATCACATAGGCATCCTTCTCCCAAGGAGCAGCTGGTGGCCTCGAACCGTGTGTCTTTGGCATTGCAGCACAACTTCTTGCCACTAGGCCACCAGAGCTCCCTGCCTGAAGATGCCTGTGACGCCTCACGCTCCCTCACGCCCAACCAGGCTGTTTTGGGATCACTGGGACCAGTACTGCCTGGAAGAACCAGCTTAGAAGGAAGCATCCCAGGTCCTCCAGGCTCCCAGCACTGACCCCAGGCCAGCCAGGGTGCATGGCGAGCTGGCAGGTGCTCACCTGGACGGTGTCGTAGCCGAGGATGCCTGTCATGCTGCCGGTGCCGTAGGCGATGGACACGGTCTGGCTGGTGGCCTGGTAAGTGGAGGACGCCTGAGGGTTGAAGCGGTTGTGGTTGCCTGCAAAGACAGAAGTGGGATGATCAGCGTGAGCACAGGCCTGGGAGGTCTTCCTGGGGTGGGCACAGTGGCTCCTGAGGGGGCTTTGAAGGGGAAAGGTGAGCTCTCCCCTAGACCTGTGGCATCCAAGAGTTCTTTCCTGTCTTCTTGGACATACTGGGCCATCAAGGTCCCAGTTACACTGTACAGAGACCTCCCCCACCCCAGCCCCAGGGACACATGGGGCAGAGTGGCCCGGGGCTGCCCTTCGTGTGAGCCGTCAGACCCACAGGACAACAGATCCTCCTGTGGTGAAGGGTGAGGGCCTCTTAATTAGAACGCAGCTTCCCAGGCTGAATGAGGAAGGAACTTGAAACACAAAATATAACTTACAACTAACCAAATAGCTCTATTTCCAAATGACTTTTTTCCCACTGGGGACCTTCCCATATCCCTCGTGTGCACACTGGATTTCTACCCCAGCCGGCTCTTCTCACAGTGGGTCCTGTGCCCTCTCTCCCCGAGGCTGTGGTCACTGAGAGCTGCCCCCTGTCCTTGGACTACAAACTCCTTGTGAGCTGGGTCCGTGTCCTAGTCACTCTCCATCCCCCAGCTCTCTAAAGCCTGTGGCACACAGTAGGTGCTCAGTTCACGCTCACGGGGTGGATGCCCGCCAAGCTCCTCAGCCTGGAGGTCTGGACCTGTCCGGGGTGCCCAGGGCGGGACTGGGCAGGGCCGGGCACTCACTGCAGGCGGGGCTGGAGCAGTAGACGGAGGGCACCCACAGGTTGGAGGAGCCGGTGTCGAAGATGACAGTGAACTCCTGGGCGGGTGTGCCGATGCCGATGGTGCCGAAGTATTCCATCTGGGGGGACACAGATGGGGCAGGTCACACCCCGTCCCGTGGAGGAGCGGCCTCCCCGAGCTGGAGCTCGGTCAGGCCTGGGTGGTCTCCTGGCTGTTCTCCCACTTTCCCCTCCCTCGCCCATGTCGCCCTCCTGCAGCCCTGGCTTCTGTCCTCCTTCAAGTCGCTGGCTGCTCCCTGGTTCCCCTCAGACCCGCTGTGGCTGTGAGCTGCTGCGGAGTCGACTTTTGACCACGATGACTCCACATATTACAGAGGAGAACCGTGATGTGTCCTTCCTTGACTGTAAATTTAATGGAAACAGGCCTCTGGTAGGAGGTGCTGCTGGGAGATTTAATTCTCAACCTTTCGATTTATAGTCGACCACAAACTGTTAGTGCCTCCTGGGACCTCAGACACCGTTCTCATAACTCACTGACGTCAGATGTGACTGACTTACAGCTGACCCTTCGCTGAGTTTCCAAGGTTGAAAAATCACATGGCAAGAGATTGTCCGACTTTCTCCTGACGAGCTACCTGATGCATGTAAACCAGGAGATAGACCCAGCGTTGGTTAGCAGGGCACCTCCCTGCAGACTAGGAAACCAGAGCTCCCTGCAGAATATAACAAGAAGAATAAACACTTGCCATCTAGTCGATCCTGACTCATGGAAAGCCGCGTATGTCACAGCAGAGCTGTGCTCTGGGTTTTCAGAGGCGATTTTGAGAACTAGGGAGCCCTGGTGGTCTAGTGGTAAGAAGCTGTGCAATCTTGAAGGCATGTGGTTCGAATCCACCAGATGCTCCATGGGAGAACGATGGACAATCTCCTCCTGTGAGATTAACTGCCTCTGAAAATCTGCTGGAGGGTCAGCTATGGGTCATTTCTGACTTGATGGTACACAACAACAACAACAACAATTTTGGGAACTAGATTTACAGACCTTTCTTCTGAGTCACCTGTGGGTGAATTTGAACCACCAACCTTTGGCTAACATCTAACAGGAGTCTGCTTTTCCTTACTCAGCTATTGTCTTGTACTCAGCTTAGTCTTGCTTTCCTGGACACCACCTGCTTCAGAGGGCAGAGGTTATATAGCACTGAGCATTAACCATAATAGCATCACAGCACCAAGCAGAATGAGACCCTGAAAGCTGGGCTATCAAATTGTCAGAAGCTTTAAAAATTCCCCTAAGGGATGTGCAGGGGGAGGGGGGATTAATAATGGGGTTGTACAATTTGATGGGTGGAAGGGATGAGAAAAATTAGAAGAATCTTTTCTTTTTTTTTTAATTTTTGTGTGAGTGTACCGTCAAATCAGATCTGACTGGTACAGGAGGAGATTGTCCCTCCTTTTCCCGGCAGAGCATCTGGTGGATTCGAACCGTGAGCCACTGGGATTGTAGTTGCAGCTCCTTGCTACTAGGCCACCAGAGCGCCCCTGGAAGAAATCTTTTCTTGAAAACAATGTATTAGAATTTTGTAAATAAAGTAGTATATAAAAAAAAATTCCCTTAATGGTCACCAGGAATGGGAAGGGAGGGAGGGAGGATAGAAATCAATAAATAGACAAGGTGGATGAAGAAAAAAAACTATTATAAGGGATTGATCAGACATTGTCATTAATTAATTACATTAATCAGTTGTCATATCTGAATGGTTGAATGAAAGATCATTATAATTTATAAACTCAGACTTAAAAGAGAAAAATTTTTGAAAAGGGAATAGAAAAAACCCACTAGCTACGGAATCTCATCCAGCCATCGTATCTCTAAAACTCTTGCTAAGCCTGCAGCAGGTTTCAAGCATTTGCATTGCTGTTGGGGTTTTTCCTCAGTGGTCGCCCCTCCCCCTTGACAGCTCTGCTCCAGCCTGTTCTAGCACGTCTTCCGATGTTTTTGGAGGATGACAAGCTCTTTCCTGTCCCTGGGGAATCCGAGCATTTGTCACTCCTCGCCTTGGAAGACTCCAGATACTGCCTCAGCTGTCTCCTCAGTAACACCCAGAGCTGTCATCTCCTCAGGAAACCTTCCCTCATCACTCTCTACACCTGCTCCCTACCCCCCAGGACTCTGCTTCCTTTTACTCAAATGAATTACGTTTTCTGCTCAGCCCACCATCTGGAGTTGTCTCACTTGTGTTAGCTGCCACTGAGCCGCTTTCCACTCGCAGCGACTCCTGGTGTGCAGACTAGAACTGCACTTGGTTCAGTTTCAAGGTGGGGATCCTTTGCAAGACAATCGTTAGGCCTGTCATCTGAGGAACCTCCAAGTGGATTTGAACCTCTAATCTTTGAGCTAATAATAGTCGAGGGCTCAACCATTTTTTCTACTCCTGCCACACAGAAGTCTTTTACTTACTTGTTTATTTATCTCCCTTTCTGAATGTTAAATCCCAAGGTCTTTTGTATCCTGAACTCCTGGCATATGGCAATTACTTCATGAATTTATTCATAAATGCACTGAACTAATCCTCACTTTTTCTCAAGGGCCAGCTTCCCGCTAAGTGTTTTAAAAGCACCATCCCTTTCCTGACTTCCTCGTCCTGGTGGAGGTGGATTTGACTATAGCGACCCTGTAGGATGGAATACGACTGCCCTATGCTGGATTCCCAAGGCTGAGGTCTTTTACAGAAGCAGAGTGCTATGTGCTTCCCCCAAGGAGTAGGGATGGGCTCAAACTGCAGACCCAAAGTTGGCAGTGAGTGCTTAATCACTGTGCCACCAGGACTCCCTATAGGAGAGGATGGTTCTACTTTACGGACCAGAAAACTGAGGCATAGAGAAGTTCAGTGATTTGCCCAAGGTCACTTGGCTTGGAAGCCTTTTCAGCCATGTTTGCATCAGGGCTGGGAGATTCCCACAGCTGGGTACCACTGGCCTTGAGCCGTCAGAGTGGGGCGTAGTGTCACTGAAGTCCAGGGTGTTGTCACCAGATAAGACAACTGGAGGGATATTTCTGGCATGCAAATCTGACCACGCCACCTGGTTGTTTGGTTTAAGGCAATTCAGGGGTGATGAGGACTTAGACCATCATCCCGCCTCAGCCCCCATGAGTCTCCTTGCCTCACTCTGCACCCCTCCCTCTTTCTGCTCCCATGCACGACACTCTATCCTATTAAGCCCCTCTCTCTGGATTTCCTGCTGCTCTTGGATTCCCCGCCCTTCCTCATCTGTGCTAGGACGGTCTCCCTGCTTCCTGGCCACCACGTCACCCTCGCAGGGCAAAGACCCCATTCTGTCTGCTGTCCTTTTCATTGTTCACTAGGCACTGTCTTGTCCCCTTGTCCTCCCCCCCCGCCGACTCACTTGTACATGATGCACTCAGAGGTTGCCATGAGCTCGCAGGGGCCAAGCGAGGTTTGAGTGACACTGTCCCCCCCCACCCCAGCACACGACACGTGACAGAGCTCAGCGCTGACTGAGTTCTCTGACTGCTCCTGGCCGGACTCGGCCAGCCCCTCCGGTGCACTCACGTCCATGTAGTTCACCAGGGGCTGGGTGGACAGCATGGTGGCGGCCTCCTTGAAGTACTTGCTGGCTGGGTTGATGTCATATTTCTGCAGGAAGTCCTTCATCAGGCCATGGTCGATCAGGTTCTGTCTCAAGGACTTCTTCTTGACCAGGGGGATCCTGGGGCAGAGCGTTTGCAAAAAGATGTGTTAGAGCAGGAGGAGGATTGGGCTGCGGAGTCTTCTCCTGGCTGCTCCAGAAGGAAATGGAAATGAGGAGGGAGGGACGCAAGAAGGACAGACCCCCCCCACTTGCTGCCTGTTGCAAAGTGCTCCCTGCGCACTCTCACATGCATATTTTTCTTGTATGTAATCCTCACAGCCACCCCAGGCCCTTTGCCCCCAACTGTGTCAGAGTAGAGCTGCTCTGCAGGGGTCTCCTCAGTGGAAGGCCTTTCTTTGCCAGGCCTTTCTTCCTAATTGCTTCTGGAGAGATTAGAACCACCAACCTTGAAGGCAGTATGTTGCCACCCAGCCACCCCTAAGGCAGGTTTGCTGTTCTTCTCTCTGCTGACAGAGAGAGAGGCTAAGCCACTTGTCCCAAGTCACTCCACTGCCTGGTGAGGGTGCTGGGAGCCCAGCCGCAGCTGCGGTTGAAGAAGATGGAGCCTCCCCAAAAGGAACAGGAAGAATGTGAGGAAAGAAAGGCCAAGTTGAGACTCATCATTCAAACCCCAAACCCCAAACTCCATGCCATCGAGCTGATGCCAACTTGTGGAGGTCCTGTAGAACTCAGTCGGACTGGCCTTGGGATTTCTGAGACTGTGATTTCTCCAGAGGCTGACCACGGCATCTTTCTCCAGTGGAGTGACTGGTGGGCTTGAACCACCTACCTTCCAGTTAATAGCCTCGCTCTTTAACTACTACACCATCAGTGCTCCCTGAGAAATCACTAAAAAACCCCTCCTGTCAAGTCAATTCTAACTCTCAGTGACCCACCAGGACAGAGCAGAACTGCCCCAAAGGGTTTCCAAACCTGCAAAGCTTTGTGGGAGCAGGCTGCCTCATCAGTATCCCACAGCATGACCGATGGATTCGAACCGCTGACCCATGGCACTACCATTGTTCCCCAAGAGGGTGCCAGGCACCCAGAAGCAGCCCTCAGAAGCTGGCTCTGGCTCTGTGTCCCCGACTCACTTGACGAGGCACTCAGAGAGGGCCACCAAGGTGAGCAACAGAAGCCACTTCATGGTTCCTCCTGGGTCCTGAACCACCAGAGCAGGAGAGCTGAGTGGAAGGTGTGGAGTGACAGGCTAAGATGTGCCTTATATACAGCACAAACCCTCCTTAATCAGCCTTATCACACACTCCACACGTCATCCATGATCCTGGCCCCAAACACAACAGTTCCCGATAAGATTGTCCCCCACTCTGAGCGCTTCCAGCTGAGTACTTTTCCACTGTGACGACATCTCGCGGTTGCAAAGGGACCTGCAGAAGACAGAGGCATTGGCAGAGTGCTGGCTTATTCCTTAAGTAATGAAAATGGTATACAAGCTTTACAAGAGGAATATTTTGACAAAATTGACCCAAGTTTTCCTTACACAACAGCTGTGTTCATCTGAACAAGTTAAAGGAACTCTGGATTTATCCCAGAGACAGAGGGCTGGGGACTTGGGGAGCAGACCCCCAAAGAACAATGGGTTATACAGCAGCTAATCCAAGGCACCTTCATAAATTCACTGTTTGGGATGTAGGATATACTTCCCCGTGAAGTGTAGTTAGATGAGGTGTTGGGTCACTTGCTTTTCACGAATCCTGGGAAAGAGGTGGGTGTAGGATGGAGGGGATGAGGGAGAGAAGTCAGCAGAAGGCTGCCTTCTTCCCAGGAGGGAGCTCAAGGTGTCAGAGATGATGAAGATCTCAGGCACAGGAAAGGACAGGGTTCAGATCTGCAGCTCATCCGTGAGTCATGCTGAACTCTATGGCACCCGACAGCAGCAATTACAACATCAGCTGCAACACAAGAAAGCAATGTGGGCACACAAATTCCTATTGATGTGTAAAGGACTTACGGAAGGTCTCTTTTTAATGTAATTTGCACAAAAATGTACAATACAAATTAATTTTTCATTCATGCATTTGTACACATTTTGTTTGTTGTTGTGTATCATAGAGTCAGAACTGCCACATAGCTGACGTCAGAGTAGATTTCCAGAGGCAGTTAATCGTATGGGAGGAGGTTGCCCATCCTTCTCTCACAGAGCAGCTGGTGGCCTTGAACCATGTGCCTTCAGGATTGCAGTGCAGCTCCTTGCCCCTAGGTCACCAGAACTCCCTTCACATTTTGGTTAGTGGCATTAACTTCAATACAGTGTAACCACACTTCACCCACCTCTCTCTGAAACTCTGATTTCTGTAAAACCTTCTATCCTTATCTGTGTCTCTTTTTTCAATGATATTGTAACAATCACCCCCTTGGCGATTACTGCCTTTCCTTGTATCTATTTCAATATGTGCCTTTTATCAATTTACTAATTTTTACTCCCCTCTTCCTTCCCATCTTTGGTAAACATCAAGAATAATTCTGCTGTATACAAACCTTTCCTTAGCTTTTAACAGCAGTAGTTTTATGCAGTATTTGATCTTTAATTGCTGACTCATTTCACTTAATATTATGTTCTCTAGATGCAACCGAGTTCTGCAGTGTTTCATGAATTCTTTAGTCTTTTTCAGTGTTACGTAGTACTCCATTGTGTGAATGTCTCATACCTTCCTTATCCATTAATCCATAGATGGACATTCGGGTTGTTTCTATCTCTTAGCTATTGTAAATAATGCGGGAATAAACATGGATGTGCAGGTATCTGTTGGTGAGGTAAATTTTATTTCTTTGGGGTATATATCCAGTAGTGGGATTACTGGATGAGCCGGTGAGAAAAGATCTTACCTTGTGTTAGTGAAAGAGGGTTAGCTCTAACTCGGTGGAGTCTGTAATTTTGTGAGATTCTATTTGGCAGACAAGTGGAGTGAAATCCAAGGAAGTGTGTGTGTGTATGTGTGTGTGTGTGTGTGGGCAGTTGAGCTTGGAGCTCTGCCTTGTTCTGCAATCAGGTTCCTTGGAGCAGCCCTGGTTTCCTCAGCATCTACAGGCTCCACATTTCCACTGGGTCCCCGAGTGAGCGAGGTGGGGACGGCAGTGTGGGCAGGATGCTGGGCTGCCAGGAGTTTGCGTGAAACACATTCACATTTGAAAACAGCAAACCGCAAACCAGTCTCCACCAAACTGATTCCTATCCACAAAGACCTCCTGTGTTAGAGCAGAACTGGGCTCCCCAGGGTTCCTGGTGGCTGCATTTTCAGGAGCAGATCACCAGGCCTTGCTTCCAAGGTGCCTCTGGGTGGACCGCAACCCACAACTTTTTAGTTAGCAACTAAGAGAATGGTACACAATTCGCACGCTTATCTCAAGGCTGGGCCACCTGGCAGCATGAGGATAGACAGAGAAGAAACTGAGATTGTTGACAGCTTCAGCTTGCTCGGCTCCACAATCAATACTCTTGGCATTAGCAGCCAGGAAATCAAGAGACCAATTGCATTGGGAAAGTCTGCTGTCAGGGACCTCTCCAGAATCCTGAAGAGCAGCAATATCCGTCTGGAGACTAAAGTGAACCAGATCCAGGCGACGGGCTTTACAATTACTTACTATACATCAGAAAGCATCAAAAACCTAGACAATGACTAGGGATGATAGAAGGAGAATTGATGCCTTTAAGTTGTGGTGCTGGGGAAGAGTATTGAACATATCATCAACAGCCAAGAGAACAAACAGATCTAACCTGGAGAGGGTGAAACCAGGTTGTTCCTTGAAGACAAGGATTTTGAAGCTCTGACTCACTTGCTTTGGACATGTGGCCAGGAGAGAAGAGAAGGGCAGTCTTTAGAGAAGGACATCATGCTTGGAAAGGTAGAGGGACAACGCAGGAGAGGAAGACCCCAGATGAGATGGATTGACACAGTAACTGGGGTTATGGGGGTAGGTGTGTCAGAGACAGGGAGACTGGCTCAGGGCAGGGCAGGGTTCAGAGCTGTAGTACATAGAATTGCTATGAGTTGCTAGCAGCTTGATGGCACATAACAACAACAATTTCAATATCACGCTTTAGATGCAGGAGCCCTGAGGGCACAATGGTTAGATGCTAGGCTTGCTAGGAGGAGAATGATGAGGAACATCTGTTTCTGTAAAGATTTACAGCTTGGAGACACTGTGGGGCCATTCAGCTCTGTCCTGTGTGGTCCATACGTGGGCATCAACTTGGTGGCAACAAATTTGTGTGGTGTTTTTTAAAATCACCCACTGCTGTCAAGTTGGTTCCAACTTTATTTATTTTTTAATCTTTATTTTTAACCTTTGCCATAAAAATGAGAACAGAATGTATATCACAGACATTATTCTTTTTTCTCCTCAGACCCCTCCCTCAATCTCTCAACTATAGACATGAAAACACGAAGGCTCTTTTAAAAAGAAAAGATATGGTATCTCTTTATTATCTATTTTTATGTACTTTCCAAAAATGTTATTTACATAACCACCGTGAGATACATCTCACCTCCGCAGCAGTGGCAAAGTTTAACAGAACAGCAAACAATCGGTCAGGTGGAGAGGATGCAGAGAGATTCCAATTCTCATGCACTGCTGGTGGGATTGTAAAATGGTACAACCACTCTGGAAGGCAGTTTGAGGTTTCCTCAAAAGGCTGAATATAGAAATCCCATATGACCTAGCCATTGCACTTCTAGGAATACGCCCCAGTAAAATTAGAACTGAGACGCAGACAGAGAGAAGTACATGCCTCCGGAAACTCTATGAACTTTGATCAATGTCGATAGTTATAGAAAGGCTTCAGGCCTTTTGTTCATAGGGTTGCTATGAGTCATGTTCGACTTGACGGCAATCAACAACAACAACAACAACAATGTTCATATCAGAGTTGTTGTTATGTGCCGTCTAGTTGCTTGCAACTCATAGCGACCCTATGTACAACAGCCCTAAACTCTGCTCTGTCCTGTGCCAATCACACCGTCTCCGACCCACCCATCCTGATTACCCCAGTCACTGAATCAATCCACCTCATAGAAGGCCTTCCCCTCCTACACTGTCCCTCCACCCTCCCAAGCATGATGTCCCTCTCCAAGGGCCCGTCTCTGCTTACAACATGTCCAAAGTATGTCAGACGGAGCCTCAGAATCCTTGCCTCCAAGGAGCTACTTGGTTTAACCGTTTCCAGGATGAATCTGTTTGTTTTCTTGGCAGTCCATGGTACTCTCAATACTCTTCTCCAGCACCACAGCTCAAAGGCATGAATTCTCCTTCTATCCTCCCTAGTCATTGTCCAACTCTCTGATGGATAACAAGTGAGTGCAAAGACCATGGCCTGTATCATACTCACCTTAGTCTCCAGAGAGACACCATTGCTCTTCAGTACTTTGGAAAGGTCCCTAACAGCAGACTTTCCTATCCCAATACGTCTTTTAATTTCCTGGCTACTGGTGCCAAGAGTGTTGACTGTGGAGCCAAGCAAACTTAGCAAGAAAAAAACCCCACACACCCCAATCTAAATGCCCATCAACAAACGAATGGATTGAGAAACTATGGTACATTCACACAATGAAATACTATGCAGCACCCAGGAGTGCTACATAACATAGGAGAGGCTAGAGAGCAGTATCCTGATTGAAATAATTCTGTCTGATAAGGTTAAATACTTTATTGTGAGAATAGAAGTGTAAAGAAGTAAGATGTAGATAAATGTTTGACAGGGAAGGGAGGGGTGGGTGTGAATCCCTAGGATAGCAGGGGTTAATGGACAGGTGGGAGGAGTGTGAAGGAATAGGAAAGACTCAGTGGGGACTTGAAAAGCAGAGGTTCTAATAAGCACAGAGCAGTAGTAGTAATTAACTATATAAAATACAATGTGTATGAATGATTGTATGAAACACGATGTAAAAGAAAGCTAGTATAGGAATAAAGGAAAAAATACTAGCAATGAATAAATCATTGTACCAAACAAATGTTTATTTAATTTTTTTTAACTTCCTTCCATATCCCTCTCTTCTCATCTCTATTAATCCTTCAGCATTGATTCTCACCAATGTGTGAACTATTTCCTAGGTGTTTGTGGTAGTGGCCTTATAGCATAATTGTAAATTTGTGGCTGATTTCTGTCACTCAACACGACGGCTCTCATTT